GCTAATTCCGATGTCCTCGTTGAGATCTCGTTTGTTTTATTATGATTCAGTTTACTATATTCTACATTTGTTATGCCTTATGCTGTCACATGCCCTTTATATGATGCAGCTTTAGTCATTGATGTCTATTTATATTCTGTTTACATTCAGCATACATTAGTCTATTGACTGCACTTTAAAAGAGCTGCAAATACTGTGTTGTTTAGTTTAGGATATTTATTGTGTCAGTACATATATATTTCGTGTTTGATATTTTATTATTTACGTATATTTATTGTTTATTACAGGAAACTACCTCCCTGCTCATAAATAAAAGATTGAAATTATCTCCTGACTCCTACTCCTTAACCAGAGTGCTGAAGTGGTCAGCAACATTTAAAGAACTGGCATTCTAAATTGGGCAATACCCAACAAATGGTCCTTCGAGCCGGAGCACTGACTGCTTCAGAATGTCAGCAGATGGCAATCCAACATCTCCTTCTCATGCCAGACCATTACGACAATGTCAAGCCCCCAGGTATCTAGAGGATTATGTCCTTGACTCCCATCACCGACCTGCCCTCACCTCTAGTACGGTTCACAGTGTAATGGAGGAGCCAAAAGGCGCAGCAGCCGCAGTGTATTCGAGTCAAGCAGATGTAACCTCCAGTCAAGGTAGACATCTGGTCACACCCAGTCCAAGTCAAGCAGACTTATTGAGTGTGGACTCATTAACTAAATTAATGGAAACCATAAACGAGAAGGACAAAGAAGAAAATGCTGAAATGCACAGTCTTCTCAGGAAATTAGAGCAGCTCAAGAAACGGAAACAACGCAGAGAGGAGATGATGGAGCACATTACGTCTTTCATAAGGGAGGAACAGGGAAATGAGAACAATGAACCAGTACAGTCTTCTCCTGCACCTTCTAATCCATCAAGTCCTCCACCCTTACCCTCATGGGACACAGTACCACAATCAGAGCACCAAGTTGCTGCAGGCTTATCAATGGGACCAGAGAAGTCGTCACATCAGATGTCAGTTATGGTTTCTAGACCAACGGTGGGGAGCCATAATGCTGCTTATGAATCAGTCAATCAGAGTCGTCCACAAACTACAGGTTTATTGTGTTCCCCTCCCTCATCTGGCATGGCATCTCCTGTTCCCCATCCGCCACAGTCACAGCTATATGAGCCCATGTCCTCTCAGGCTCCCAGACCTCTCCCTAGGCAGGAACAAGCTAGCACTGCTCATTCAGAACGATCATTTCACCCCCTTGAACCACAGGTGATTTCGCCAACACCAGTCTATCCACGTTCTATGGCACCTTATGGTTATATTGCAACACCATACTCACAAATGCAGTTGGTGAATGCACCCAATTCACACAATCTTGCCCCTCCGTATCAAGCAATGATGTCATCAACATTACTTCCCCAAAATATGTTCTCAGGCCCAATGCCTTCAGTGAGCACGGCTGCAGTCGCACCACAGTTGGTCACAGCTCAGGTAGCAGCACCACCCAATGGTAGTATACCTCAACGTGCCCTATACAGCCCCCCAAAACCAAAAATTCCAGACTTCACAAACGACAGTGAACGAGATTTTGCTAATATGAAGCTAGCATTGGACAATTTGCTTGAACCTTACCCTGAACTTACAGAAAAGTACAAATACCATGTACTATTGGAGCATCTTAAACTTCCTGAAGCTCAGATGATAGGGCAGTCATGTAGGCATCATCCATATCCCTATTCAGCAGCTATGCAAGCACTTCAATTACAGTATGGTCAGCCCCATCAACTGGCTCAAAGTGAAATAGCAGCCATCCTTACATCACCAGATGTAAAGCCCAATGATGGTCATAGCTTTCAGAGTTTCGCTTTGAGAGTTCATCTTCTGGTCAGTATGCTGCTGTCACTAGAGGGACCCAGAGGGATGGAGCTTAACTGTTGCTCGCATGTGGACCGCTTGCTTAGCAAGCTACCAAAATACCTTCGAGATGGCTTCATTGAGTTCCTTCAACAGCAGGGAAAACTTAATGCCTTAAGTTTGAACCCTTATAATCTGCAGGACTTCGCTGGGTGGCTACAAGTCAAAGCACAGCAGCAGCGGCTGTCTAATCGACTAATGCAACGCTATCAACATGAAAGGCCTTCAAGTATTGGAAAGGAGAAAACTCAAGCCATAACAAAGGGGACAAGTTTAGTACTTTATCAGGGTGCGGCCCCAAATGAGACTGCTCTCCCTACCCATCCTAAAGAGAACAAACAAAGGAAGCCACTTAAGGTACAATGTCTGTTCTGCAATAGTAAAGAACATTACATTACACGCTGCGACAATATCAAAGAGCAGTCAGTCGCAGAGCTCCATAAGTGGATTTCAGATGGAAGGCGATGCTGGAAATGTGCACGATTTCATGCACCAGAGATGTGCAACCTCAAAAAGCCATGCAGTGACTGTGGTAGAATACATCTACAGGTGCTCCATCGTATCGCATCTAATGATCAACCAAACACATCAGGTATGCCAGAGAGTCGTATTTACCTCACCCCTGCCAGTGTGACCTGTAGAGTGCTTCTTAAAATGGTTCCAGTGTTGCTACATGGCAAGTTCAAATCAGTAGAAACCTATGCTATACTAGATGATGGAGCGCAACGAACCATTGTCTTACCAATGGCTGCACAGATGCTTCAGTTGAAAGGTGAACCTGAAGTACTGACTTTACGCACAGTGCGAGCAGATGTTACCCATCTTTCTGGATCCAAGATAAATCTGGAAATTTCCCCAAAAGGCGAACCCAATAAACGTTTCCAGATACTTGACGCCTTCACAGCTTCCGGTTTGGATCTAGTTGAGCAATCATATCCAGTACAGAGACTTCAAAAGCTGTATGCTCACCTTAGAGGGCTCCCTCTACAGTCCTTCCACAACGTACGCCCACTAGTACTGATCGGATCAGATCATGTTCATCTTATCACAGCCGATAAGCCAGTCCACCAAGGAGTCAAAGGTGGCCCAGTTGCAATACACACAGCCCTCGGATGGGCATTACAAGGAGCAGAGAAGAGCACACCAATCCACAATTCAGTACAGCAGTGTCTTTTTACATCGGCCTCCTGTCCCAATGACTTGCTTTATCGCAGTGTTGAAAAGTTATGGCAACTAGACATCTTGCCTTATCGAAATGAGAAACTGGTGGTTAGATCCAGGGAAGACCAAGAAGCAATCAAACTTCTTGAGTGTAAAACACAGACAATTAATGTGGAGGGTGTCCAGCGGTATGCCACCCCTCTCCTGCGCAAACCTGGGGCTCCTACACTATTGAGTACGACTCGATCCGTCATGCCTACTTTGAGAAGTATTGAGAGGAAACTCCAGAGAGACCCTGAGAAAGCAACCATCTACTCTCGTGAGATTGAGAAGCTCATTAAAGCAGGCTATGTCACTAAAATTCATCCAGAAGAAATCAGCCAGTCCAAAGAGGCCTGGTACATACCCCACCACCTGGTGTGTCACAATGATAAACCAAGACTGGTCTTCAATTGCTCATTCAGGTCTCAAGGTCAGTCTCTGAATGATCAACTTCTCCCAGGGCCTGCACTTGGTCCATCCTTATTGGGCGTTCTTCTAAGATTTCGTCAATACAATGTGGCTGTAAGTGCAGATATCCGGGGAATGTTCCATCAGGTTCGCTTGTTACCTGAGGACAGACCTCTTCTCCGCTTCATTTGGCGAGATCTGCAATATGAGAATTGTCCAGATGTATATGAATGGCAGGTTTTGCCATTTGGTACAACCAGTAGCCCATGTTGTGCCATTTTTGCTGTGCAGCAGCATGCTCGCAATTACCAAGAGAGCTACCCAAGTGCTTTACAGACAATCCAGCAAAGCTTCTATGTGGACAATTATCTAGCGAGTTTTCCCACTACATCGGAAGCCAGGGTGTCCGTTGATCAACTGCGCAGCCTACTAGCTACAGGTGGCTTTGACCTTAGACAATGGGCTAGCAACCAGCCCGCAGTGATCTCACATCTACCCACTGAGGCAAGATCTTCAGCTGCAGAACAATGGCTTGCACAAAATAGAACTGATCCAATGGAACCAACTCTGGGCCTCAGGTGGAACTGTGCTGCTGATACACTGGGATACCACTATCGTCCAATAGAACATGCTACCCTGACAATGAGAACAGCGTATCAAATACTAGCCACACAGTATGATCCACTGGGCTTCATTGTGCCCTTTACCACACGAGCCAAGGTGCTCATTCAACAGTTGTGGTCTAAAAAGCGAGATTGGGACGACCCAAATTTACCACAAGATCTCAGCAGGGCCTGGGAAACATGGGAGAATGAGTTAAAACATCTCAGCGATATAACCATACCTCGTTGCTACTCATCTATTCCCCACGATGCACAACAACAGTACGAACTACATGTGTTCTGTGACGCATCCGAACGGGCTTATGGGGCTGTGGCTTACTTGGTGGAATATGCAGATGTTATTCATTCAACCTTTGTCATGGCCAGATCAAGAATTGCTCCTAAGAGGCAACAATCCATACCTCGACTGGAGTTATGTGCTGCACTAGCAGGTGCACAGCTGGCAAAGCTCCTGAAGGAGGAGATCACCCTTAAAATCCAGCAGATAGTTTTATGGACTGATTCTACAACTGTGCTAGAGTGGCTCCAGTCCGATTCATGTCGATTTAAAGTTTTTGTTGGAACACGGGTCTCAGAAATCCAGGATCTGACTGAGCATAGTACTTGGCGCTATGTTGACACACAGCAAAACCCAGCAGATGATATCACCAGGGGTAAACCACTCCAAAGTTTTACCATTCCTGGGCGCTGGAGTCAGGGACCCTCATTCCTAAACCTGGGTCCTGAGCACTGGCCAAAAAGACCTGAACCATCAAGGTCAGAAGGATTACCTGATTTAAAGGGTGCCAACATCTGTTGTTTAATGACTGTGGTGCCAGATCATACTTTCCCCGATGCCACTCATTTCCATACATGGAAAGAGTTAGTGGAAGCGACTCGACAGGCCGATGGAAAGGCGACAGGTAGTCAACCAGATACTCAACTCATGGACCATCGCACAGCAGAATTGGAATTAATAAAAGGGTGTCAGGCTCAAAGCTTTCCCGAGGAGACCGCAGCCCTCAAAATGCACAAACCTGTACCAAATCACAGTCGATTAAGATGTCTTGCTCCAGAGTGGGATCCGGTGATGGAGGTAATTAGAGTCGGAGGACGATTACGAAGGCTGGAAAGCCTAAATGCTGAGGAAACTCACCCTATAGTATTACACCCACAGCATCCAACCACAAAGCTTCTCATCAAAGAGTTTGATGAGCGCCTGCTCCACCCAGGTACAGAAAGAGTGTACGCCGAACTTCGGAGACAATATTGGATCTTGAGGGGGCGGCAAGCTGTTAAACATCACCAGCTTAAATGTTCATCATGCCAACGATGGAGAGCTCAGCCTAAAGTACCAAAAATGGCAGACCTCCCACCAGAGCGGCTCAGGATTCTTTGCCCACCATTTTACTCTACTGGAGTAGACTGTTTTGGTCCATATCAGGTAAAAATAGGCAGACGAGTGGAGAAACGTTGGGGAGTCATTTTTAAATGTCTCACAACAAGAGCGGTTCACATTGAGCTCCTCAACTCCATGGATGTGGATGCCTTCTTGCTTGCTTTGCGACGATTCATGGCCAGACGTGGCAGACCAAAGGAGCTTAGGTCAGATTGTGGTACAAACTTCCGTGGGGCTGATCGAGAGCTAAGAGAAGCCTTTGCTGCCATGGAATCCCCATTAAAAGAGCGGCTAGCTGATCATCAGATCACATTTAAGTTCAACCCTCCTCATGCACCGCATTTCGGTGGCACTTGGGAACGAGAGGTTCGTTCCATAAAGACTGCTCTACGGGCAGCAGTTGGTGGCCAGTCTGTCTCAGAAGATGTCCTCACTACTGTATTAGTAGAGGTAGAGGGCATTTTGAACTCAAAACCGCTTGGATATGTCTCCACGGATATTGCAGATCCAGATCCTATTACACCAAACCTTCTCCTCATGGGGCGGCGGGATGCGTCACTCCCACAAGTGACTTATGCTTCAGGGGAAATGGGACGGCGCAGATGGCGCCATTGTCAAAATCTTGTGGATCAGTTCTTGACTCAGTTTACAAGGAATTACTTGCCCACACTACAAACCCGCCAAAAGTGGCAAACTTCATCCGACAATCTAAAAGTGGGTTCAGTGGTTTTGATTGTTGACCCACAATTGACATAAATGTTCAAGGTAAAGTGTACACTAGGCCAGTAGCCCGGCTCATTCAGTTGCCAGCCTTTCAAGATGACAGTAAAGACTCCTAAAGAATTCTCTTGACTTGCACATTTGCTGTTCAAATGTGGGGGCGGCTGTTCTGAATTCTTTATACTATGGCTGTAACACGATTTACTGAGTGTTCTGTTAAGGGCTTATATTATGAATGTAGGATGTAACTTCCGGAGGATGCATATTTGAGTCCATATATGAGAAGTTGAATGTGCTGACTCATGAGTGAGACGCGATTGCCATCCGTGAGATATTGTGAAGTGCGGGGTAAAGTTATTGCCAAGTGAGTTTGTTCCTTTATATCATGTTTGTAATTACCCTTGTATGCGTGATGTTGTTAATGACCCGCGATCGGCCGCGAGCATTAGTTTCCGTGTAAACCAAAAGTGAAAGTGCTGCTACCATCAGCAACGCGGCTAATCCCGATGTCCTCGTTGAGATCTCGTTTGTTTTATTATGATTCAGTTTACTATATTCTACATTTGTTATGCCTTATGCTGTCACATGCCCTTTATATGATGCAGCTTTAGTCATTGATGTCTATTTATATTCTGTTTACATTCAGCATACATTAGTCTATTGACTGCACTTTAAAAGAGCTGCAAATACTGTGTTGTTTAGTTTAGGATATTTATTGTGTCAGTACATATATATTTCGTGTTTGATATTTTATTATTTACGTATATTTATTGTTTATTACAGGAAACTACCTCCCTGCTCATAAATAAAAGATTGAAATTATCTCCTGACTCCTACTCCTTAACCAGAGTGCTGAAGTGGTCAGCAACATTTAAAGAACTGGCATTCTAAATTGGGCAATACCCAACAAATGGTCCTTCGAGCCGGAGCACTGACTGCTTCAGAATGTCAGCAGATGGCAATCCAACATCTCCTTCTCATGCCAGACCATTACGACAATGTCAAGCCCCCAGGTATCTAGAGGATTATGTCCTTGACTCCCATCACCGACCTGCCCTCACCTCTAGTACGGTTCACAGTGTAATGGAGGAGCCAAAAGGCGCAGCAGCCGCAGTGTATTCGAGTCAAGCAGATGTAACCTCCAGTCAAGGTAGACATCTGGTCACACCCAGTCCAAGTCAAGCAGACTTATTGAGTGTGGACTCATTAACTAAATTAATGGAAACCATAAACGAGAAGGACAAAGAAGAAAATGCTGAAATGCACAGTCTTCTCAGGAAATTAGAGCAGCTCAAGAAACGGAAACAACGCAGAGAGGAGATGATGGAGCACATTACGTCTTTCATAAGGGAGGAACAGGGAAATGAGAACAATGAACCAGTACAGTCTTCTCCTGCACCTTCTAATCCATCAAGTCCTCCACCCTTACCCTCATGGGACACAGTACCACAATCAGAGCACCAAGTTGCTGCAGGCTTATCAATGGGACCAGAGAAGTCGTCACATCAGATGTCAGTTATGGTTTCTAGACCAACGGTGGGGAGCCATAATGCTGCTTATGAATCAGTCAATCAGAGTCGTCCACAAACTACAGGTTTATTGTGTTCCCCTCCCTCATCTGGCATGGCATCTCCTGTTCCCCATCCGCCACAGTCACAGCTATATGAGCCCATGTCCTCTCAGGCTCCCAGACCTCTCCCTAGGCAGGAACAAGCTAGCACTGCTCATTCAGAACGATCATTTCACCCCCTTGAACCACAGGTGATTTCGCCAACACCAGTCTATCCACGTTCTATGGCACCTTATGGTTATATTGCAACACCATACTCACAAATGCAGTTGGTGAATGCACCCAATTCACACAATCTTGCCCCTCCGTATCAAGCAATGATGTCATCAACATTACTTCCCCAAAATATGTTCTCAGGCCCAATGCCTTCAGTGAGCACGGCTGCAGTCGCACCACAGTTGGTCACAGCTCAGGTAGCAGCACCACCCAATGGTAGTATACCTCAACGTGCCCTATACAGCCCCCCAAAACCAAAAATTCCAGACTTCACAAACGACAGTGAACGAGATTTTGCTAATATGAAGCTAGCATTGGACAATTTGCTTGAACCTTACCCTGAACTTACAGAAAAGTACAAATACCATGTACTATTGGAGCATCTTAAACTTCCTGAAGCTCAGATGATAGGGCAGTCATGTAGGCATCATCCATATCCCTATTCAGCAGCTATGCAAGCACTTCAATTACAGTATGGTCAGCCCCATCAACTGGCTCAAAGTGAAATAGCAGCCATCCTTACATCACCAGATGTAAAGCCCAATGATGGTCATAGCTTTCAGAGTTTCGCTTTGAGAGTTCATCTTCTGGTCAGTATGCTGCTGTCACTAGAGGGACCCAGAGGGATGGAGCTTAACTGTTGCTCGCATGTGGACCGCTTGCTTAGCAAGCTACCAAAATACCTTCGAGATGGCTTCATTGAGTTCCTTCAACAGCAGGGAAAACTTAATGCCTTAAGTTTGAACCCTTATAATCTGCAGGACTTCGCTGGGTGGCTACAAGTCAAAGCACAGCAGCAGCGGCTGTCTAATCGACTAATGCAACGCTATCAACATGAAAGGCCTTCAAGTATTGGAAAGGAGAAAACTCAAGCCATAACAAAGGGGACAAGTTTAGTACTTTATCAGGGTGCGGCCCCAAATGAGACTGCTCTCCCTACCCATCCTAAAGAGAACAAACAAAGGAAGCCACTTAAGGTACAATGTCTGTTCTGCAATAGTAAAGAACATTACATTACACGCTGCGACAATATCAAAGAGCAGTCAGTCGCAGAGCTCCATAAGTGGATTTCAGATGGAAGGCGATGCTGGAAATGTGCACGATTTCATGCACCAGAGATGTGCAACCTCAAAAAGCCATGCAGTGACTGTGGTAGAATACATCTACAGGTGCTCCATCGTATCGCATCTAATGATCAACCAAACACATCAGGTATGCCAGAGAGTCGTATTTACCTCACCCCTGCCAGTGTGACCTGTAGAGTGCTTCTTAAAGTGGTTCCAGTGTTGCTACATGGCAAGTTCAAATCAGTAGAAACCTATGCTATACTAGATGATGGAGCGCAACGAACCATTGTCTTACCAATGGCTGCACAGATGCTTCAGTTGAAAGGTGAACCTGAAGTACTGACTTTACGCACAGTGCGAGCAGATGTTACCCATCTTTCTGGATCCAAGATAAATCTGGAAATTTCCCCAAAAGGCGAACCCAATAAACGTTTCCAGATACTTGACGCCTTCACAGCTTCCGGTTTGGATCTAGTTGAGCAATCATATCCAGTACAGAGACTTCAAAAGCTGTATGCTCACCTTAGAGGGCTCCCTCTACAGTCCTTCCACAACGTACGCCCACTAGTACTGATCGGATCAGATCATGTTCATCTTATCACAGCCGATAAGCCAGTCCACCAAGGAGTCAAAGGTGGCCCAGTTGCAATACACACAGCCCTCGGATGGGCATTACAAGGAGCAGAGAAGAGCACACCAATCCACAATTCAGTACAGCAGTGTCTTTTTACATCGGCCTCCTGTCCCAATGACTTGCTTTATCGCAGTGTTGAAAAGTTATGGCAACTAGACATCTTGCCTTATCGAAATGAGAAACTGGTGGTTAGATCCAGGGAAGACCAAGAAGCAATCAAACTTCTTGAGTGTAAAACACAGACAATTAATGTGGAGGGTGTCCAGCGGTATGCCACCCCTCTCCTGCGCAAACCTGGGGCTCCTACACTATTGAGTACGACTCGATCCGTCATGCCTACTTTGAGAAGTATTGAGAGGAAACTCCAGAGAGACCCTGAGAAAGCAACCATCTACTCTCGTGAGATTGAGAAGCTCATTAAAGCAGGCTATGTCACTAAAATTCATCCAGAAGAAATCAGCCAGTCCAAAGAGGCCTGGTACATACCCCACCACCTGGTGTGTCACAATGATAAACCAAGACTGGTCTTCAATTGCTCATTCAGGTCTCAAGGTCAGTCTCTGAATGATCAACTTCTCCCAGGGCCTGCACTTGGTCCATCCTTATTGGGCGTTCTTCTAAGATTTCGTCAATACAATGTGGCTGTAAGTGCAGATATCCGGGGAATGTTCCATCAGGTTCGCTTGTTACCTGAGGACAGACCTCTTCTCCGCTTCATTTGGCGAGATCTGCAATATGAGAATTGTCCAGATGTATATGAATGGCAGGTTTTGCCATTTGGTACAACCAGTAGCCCATGTTGTGCCATTTTTGCTGTGCAGCAGCATGCTCGCAATTACCAAGAGAGCTACCCAAGTGCTTTACAGACAATCCAGCAAAGCTTCTATGTGGACAATTATCTAGCGAGTTTTCCCACTACATCGGAAGCCAGGGTGTCCGTTGATCAACTGCGCAGCCTACTAGCTACAGGTGGCTTTGACCTTAGACAATGGGCTAGCAACCAGCCCGCAGTGATCTCACATCTACCCACTGAGGCAAGATCTTCAGCTGCAGAACAATGGCTTGCACAAAATAGAACTGATCCAATGGAACCAACTCTGGGCCTCAGGTGGAACTGTGCTGCTGATACACTGGGATACCACTATCGTCCAATAGAACATGCTACCCTGACAATGAGAACAGCGTATCAAATACTAGCCACACAGTATGATCCACTGGGCTTCATTGTGCCCTTTACCACACGAGCCAAGGTGCTCATTCAACAGTTGTGGTCTAAAAAGCGAGATTGGGACGACCCAAATTTACCACAAGATCTCAGCAGGGCCTGGGAAACATGGGAGAATGAGTTAAAACATCTCAGCGATATAACCATACCTCGTTGCTACTCATCTATTCCCCACGATGCACAACAACAGTACGAACTACATGTGTTCTGTGACGCATCCGAACGGGCTTATGGGGCTGTGGCTTACTTGGTGGAATATGCAGATGTTATTCATTCAACCTTTGTCATGGCCAGATCAAGAATTGCTCCTAAGAGGCAACAATCCATACCTCGACTGGAGTTATGTGCTGCACTAGCAGGTGCACAGCTGGCAAAGCTCCTGAAGGAGGAGATCACCCTTAAAATCCAGCAGATAGTTTTATGGACTGATTCTACAACTGTGCTAGAGTGGCTCCAGTCCGATTCATGTCGATTTAAAGTTTTTGTTGGAACACGGGTCTCAGAAATCCAGGATCTGACTGAGCATAGTACTTGGCGCTATGTTGACACACAGCAAAACCCAGCAGATGATATCACCAGGGGTAAACCACTCCAAAGTTTTACCATTCCTGGGCGCTGGAGTCAGGGACCCTCATTCCTAAACCTGGGTCCTGAGCACTGGCCAAAAAGACCTGAACCATCAAGGTCAGAAGGATTACCTGATTTAAAGGGTGCCAACATCTGTTGTTTAATGACTGTGGTGCCAGATCATACTTTCCCCGATGCCACTCATTTCCATACATGGAAAGAGTTAGTGGAAGCGACTCGACAGGCCGATGGAAAGGCGACAGGTAGTCAACCAGATACTCAACTCATGGACCATCGCACAGCAGAATTGGAATTAATAAAAGGGTGTCAGGCTCAAAGCTTTCCCGAGGAGACCGCAGCCCTCAAAATGCACAAACCTGTACCAAATCACAGTCGATTAAGATGTCTTGCTCCAGAGTGGGATCCGGTGATGGAGGTAATTAGAGTCGGAGGACGATTACGAAGGCTGGAAAGCCTAAATGCTGAGGAAACTCACCCTATAGTATTACACCCACAGCATCCAACCACAAAGCTTCTCATCAAAGAGTTTGATGAGCGCCTGCTCCACCCAGGTACAGAAAGAGTGTACGCCGAACTTCGGAGACAATATTGGATCTTGAGGGGGCGGCAAGCTGTTAAACATCACCAGCTTAAATGTTCATCATGCCAACGATGGAGAGCTCAGCCTAAAGTACCAAAAATGGCAGACCTCCCACCAGAGCGGCTCAGGATTCTTTGCCCACCATTTTACTCTACTGGAGTAGACTGTTTTGGTCCATATCAGGTAAAAATAGGCAGACGAGTGGAGAAACGTTGGGGAGTCATTTTTAAATGTCTCACAACAAGAGCGGTTCACATTGAGCTCCTCAACTCCATGGATGTGGATGCCTTCTTGCTTGCTTTGCGACGATTCATGGCCAGACGTGGCAGACCAAAGGAGCTTAGGTCAGATTGTGGTACAAACTTCCGTGGGGCTGATCGAGAGCTAAGAGAAGCCTTTGCTGCCATGGAATCCCCATTAAAAGAGCGGCTAGCTGATCATCAGATCACATTTAAGTTCAACCCTCCTCATGCACCGCATTTCGGTGGCACTTGGGAACGAGAGGTTCGTTCCATAAAGACTGCTCTACGGGCAGCAGTTGGTGGCCAGTCTGTCTCAGAAGATGTCCTCACTACTGTATTAGTAGAGGTAGAGGGCATTTTGAACTCAAAACCGCTTGGATATGTCTCCACGGATATTGCAGATCCAGATCCTATTACACCAAACCTTCTCCTCATGGGGCGGCGGGATGCGTCACTCCCACAAGTGACTTATGCTTCAGGGGAAATGGGACGGCGCAGATGGCGCCATTGTCAAAATCTTGTGGATCAGTTCTTGACTCAGTTTACAAGGAATTACTTGCCCACACTACAAACCCGCCAAAAGTGGCAAACTTCATCCGACAATCTAAAAGTGGGTTCAGTGGTTTTGATTGTTGACCCACAATTGACATAAATGTTCAAGGTAAAGTGTACACTAGGCCAGTAGCCCGGCTCATTCAGTTGCCAGCCTTTCAAGATGACAGTAAAGACTCCTAAAGAATTCTCTTGACTTGCACATTTGCTGTTCAAATGTGGGGGCGGCTGTTCTGAATTCTTTATACTATGGCTGTAACACGATTTACTGAGTGTTCTGTTAAGGGCTTATATTATGAATGTAGGATGTAACTTCCGGAGGATGCATATTTGAGTCCATATATGAGAAGTTGAATGTGCTGACTCATGAGTGAGACGCGATTGCCATCCGTGAGATATTGTGAAGTGCGGGGTAAAGTTATTGCCAAGTGAGTTTGTTCCTTTATATCATGTTTGTAATTACCCTTGTATGCTTGATATTAAGTGCGTGATGTTGTTAATGACCCGCGATCGGCCGCGAGCATTAGTTTCCGTGTAAACCAAAAGTGAAAGTGCTGCTACCATCAGCAACGCGGCTAATCCCGATGTCCTCGTTGAGATCTCGTTTGTTTTATTATGATTCAGTTTACTATATTCTACATTTGTTATGCCTTATGCTGTCACATGCCCTTTATATGATGCAGCTTTAGTCATTGATGTCTATTTATATTCTGTTTACATTCAGCATACATTAGTCTATTGACTGCACTTTAAAAGAGCTGCAAATACTGTGTTGTTTAGTTTAGGATATTTATTGTGTCAGTACATATATATTTCGTGTTTGATATTTTATTATTTACGTATATTTATTGTTTATTACAGGAAACTACCTCCCTGCTCATAAATAAAAGATTGAAATTATCTCCTGACTCCTACTCCTTAACCAGAGTGCTGAAGTGGTCAGCAACATTTAAAGAACTGGCATTCTAAATTGGGCAATACCCAACACCACTATTGGGTCGAATGGTTCTAAGGGTACATACATAGACTTGCCTCAGTCATTGCCTTATGCGCTTGTGTTACATTTCAAATGGCTCTATTACAGCACCATCATGTAAAATGAAGCCACAGGAAAAGAAACCATTTTGTGAAATAGTGGAAAAGCAGCTACCGAGAATGCACTAGTGTTTTATTGGATCAAAACAAATGTAAAACATTTTTAATTAACAAGCCTGAGAAACTCATAGGATAACTAATGAGACTCAGATTCAGGCACCCACCTGAGTAATAGGGCCCTTGCAGTAAGCACAGCGAGGAGAGAAGAGCTTCTGATAGTCTTTCTCACAGTATGGCTTGCCGTCTCGCTCAAAGAAACCACATGTGCCCAGTTCTTCCCTGCACGCCGAGCAAACAAAGTGTTCCGGGTGCCACACCTGACCCAGAGCTGTGATCATCTGCACAAACACAACAGCACATTACACTTTTATAACAAAAGAAATGTACAGAAACAACAAGACAGCATACTGTACCTTCCCAGCTATACACTTTCCACAAGAAGCACAGTGGCCTTTGGCAGCGGTGCGAACCCCCATTTTCTCCATATCTGAGCTGAGCGAGCCGAGCAGATCGTCTATAGCATCCACACCCTTGGAGAATTTCTCTGACAGAGGAGGATGCTGAGGTTTCCTGTCCCCTTCCTGTCTTCCACTACCACTTTCTCCTGTTTCCTCTGTTGTTTTGGCCTTTATTGACTTGCGAGCCAGTGGAGGTGGGTTTGATGAGGGAGCTGGCTCTGAAACCTTCAAAATGAAGTGTCAGGGGTTGTTTCAGTTTTAAAGCATATATATTTTAAAAGCATTTTTAAGAAAGCTGTGCCTGAAAATATGCTTGGAATACAAAGAAGTTAAACTTTAAACTTTTAAACTTTAAAAGTTAAGTTTAAAAGTTAAGAATTTGAAAGCTGCTATGCTATCCACTTGCTAAGTTGTTTTGTGTGTTTGCTAGGAGGTTGTTTGAGTTACAGTGGGCCATAGATATGTACGCTAGATATCGCATACAGACCCTGAGCATGCGTCAATAGCGCCACTGTAACGACTGGGGGGAGTGACACTCACAACAGAAGGTAAGATCCAATATGCAGGTTTATTTAATGTCGTCAAGCAAGCAATGGTCAAATCAGGTACAAACAGGTATGTGTAGGCAAATCCAGAGTCGTAAACAAAGTGCAGGCAATAGGTCGTAAGGCTGGCGGCTAAACAGGATAACTAGGGTAAACAAGGCTAGGATCGAGACACGGAGAAACAAGACAAGGAGGAAACGCGTTGTAATGTCACTATGGGCGATCAAGACTCGGCAAACTGGAAGGGTGAAAGAGTGGCTTATGAATGGTGTGATATCAGTCTGTGACAAAGTTCAGCTGGTGATTGCAATCAGGATAGATGAATGACCAGGCGTGCGTGTTTGGAAGAAGTGCATGTATGAATATGTAGTCCTGGGAAATGCGGAAGTGAAGTTCAAGTATAGTGGAAACCAGCGATCTCCGGAGAACGATCGCTGGTTATCGTAACAGCCACCACATTTGTACAGTGCATAGATATTTATATTAGATGTCACCTACACTTGTTGTCTATTGAAAGAAATGCGTCAAAAAGCCGCCATTTTAGTACAGTGTTGCGCTCCTTTGAATGGAATGTGAGACCAAGGTGCAGTGGAGGACTGGCCGGAGCCAGAGATATATACACATATATACATATATCTATGATCGGGAGTTTTCCCGGTGGTCAGAATGCAAATTCATTTTTAAATTACAAAATTTAAAACTTACATCACTTTTCTACATCAATGGATTATGACCGCACAGGTATTGCCGACAAAAAGCATGTGCTTGTGTGCATGGAAATGTATTATCTCCCTCCCTGTTAAATTTGATCTAATCTGTGTCCTGAAACACACCCCCTCACCTGCTTTCACTTCTCATTCTAACGAAGAGAGAAATTCGCTTGTGAATAAGTCCCCATTATAAACGACTCGTTCAAGCTGACAATATTACAAGTTTCTAAAATTCTAACTTACAAAAGTTCATAAGATACAAACACTTTGACTTTTGTCCTGGGTGCACTGTAAAATATGGCGGCGCTATTGATGCATGCACTGGATCTGTATGCAATATCTAGTGTATATATTTATGTGTAAAGTGCTCCCAGGACAAAAGTCATTCATTCGCACCTGTCAAGATTAAAGCCAAACTGAAGATGCTGGACTTTTGCACTGCATACGGGTGTAGTAAACAAGCAAAACAAGAGATTAAAGCACAAGGTAGAACATTTCATAAGATTTCGTTTTTTACATTTTTGTATGTTATGAACTTTTGTGCTCAACAAGTAGCGTTATTGATGATAAGTCTCTTACCGCACTGACCATGACCATGTTTTGATGAATAAAATCAGCAAACAATGCAAATGAAATACGACAACAAGACGCTGTGGTGCCAGAAACTTGTATTATTGACAGCTGAAGTCAGCCTGCGCCTCAATGAGCATGCTGTCCACCCTAAATTATGGAATATTACAAATGTTATACCATTTAGATCAGAAAGATGAATATGCACATTGAGACACAGGGCTATCAATGGTTCACATGAGTCATTCATAACAGGGATTTAGGCTATTCACAAGCTAATCGCTTCCTCCATTAGAATGAGAGGTGAAAGCAGGAGTAGAGGGGTGTTTCAGGACATGAATTAGATCAAATTTAACAGGGAGGGAGATAATACATTTCCATGCACACAAACTCGTGCTCTTTGTCGGCAGTGCCTGTGCGGTCACTTATCTATGTAGAAAAGTGATGTAAATAATAATTTTCGGAATTTAAAAAAAAATATTGGCGTACTGACCACCGGGAAAACTCCTGATCATAGATATATGTGTCTATATATCTCTGGCTCTGGATGGCCAGTCCTCAACTGCATCTTGGTCCCACATTCATTTCAAAGGAGCGATATACAGTTCAAAAATGGCGGCTCCATTGGCACATTCCTTCCAATAGACAACAATAGCGCAGGTGACATCTAATGTAAATATCTATGACTATGTGCTCAGTTGGGGGATTCTGTGTTGATGCTGAATGCTTACTGGTGTGTGGCAGCTTGTTGTTGCTTTTAAGTTAGTTACTAGTCAGGTTGGTTGCTATAATACTATTAGACTGGTAATATGTGGTTGCTAGGGTATTCTGTGTGGTTGTTAGAATGTGGGTGCTAGGGTGCTGAGTTTTTATCAGTCACTTTGGTAGATTTCTCACAACCTTATTTACATTTGCACAACAGTTAATGCATTTCTTTAAACAATTATTCACATATGCACATCATAGTAGCAGTTTCTCATTCATTCCAACAAATTGCAAATGCTTTTGAACATGCATCAACTGCTTTCATTCAACTCTCTGCTGTTTAATAACATTATCATTTGTTTATGTCATGTCAGTCTAAATTAACTAAACTTGTGAATGCTGAATAGTCATTCCATATAAAACTAATAGTCCTCATTTCATTACTTGAGTCATTACATACACAAACGTTGAACTAGTTGTCAAAATATGTCAAACAAATTTAAGCAAATTTTAAATATTTTTTTTCCTGAAAATGTCTTCTAAATTAAAAATTTGATGAATGATTTACAGACCTGTGTATGTTGTATGTTCAGTTCCAACATGTACTGCAATAGTGTTTGCAGTTGTGCACAGCTTTACCCACAGGAAGTTTATGTTTGTTGTAAATAAGGGTGTGTTTATTCTTTTGCACAAGGTTGTGACCACAGCAGAGCAAAAGCAGTAAAAATGTAAAACATACATATTCAGTGTCTTATACTCAGATACCTCACTAAATGCAGTGATGCCTAACTTTACTGTAGTTTTCAAATAACTGTGCAAATAGTTTATAGTGCTGTCTTGAGCATTTTCAGGAAGTTTCACCAAAATCTGACTTTTTTGCATTGGGAAAAAATGTACAGAGTAAACTGACATAGTAAAAACATGACAAAGCTATTTGACTATCTTGTTCAAAAACAATGGTGTCAGGACTTTTCATCTTGATGACACTGACACTCTCTTTGGCATGAATACTTGCTTTTGATGAATGAGCTATCCATTTTGAGCATGTGATGTGCTGTTACAGGTTATCAACTAGGTTTTGCAGGTTGTACTAAATATTTTGAGAAATGCAACTGTTGTGCAAATGTAAATATTGTTGTGAGAAATGCACCAGAGAAAAAAGCAACTGAGAAAAACTCTAATATGCAATTTCTATAGGGTATTCCTCATAGTTACAAAGTTGATCTGTATATTTGATAGTGTGTTGCTGACAGATACGATGGATGGATGGATGGATGGATGGATGGATATTTCATTTGAGTGGGCATGAATCAGGATCTCTAATGTGCTTATGCTGCCCTCTTCTGGCAATGCTCAGTATGTGCAGTGGCTGTAGAGAGTATTGACCATCTTAAAGTGAGCATGTCAGGCTCATGTTTCCCTTACTTCCAGGTCGAGACCCAGCAGATCATTCATGAGGGAATCCAGTTCTCGTGTCGCTGTCCGGGGACTCATCAGACTGGCCTCTACAGGGGCTGTAGGAACACTACAAAAACACTCATGCACTCATTGAGTAGCTCAAACTCAAAGCACAGCATGCACCCCAAACAATACAGATGACGTAATGCACTGTCTATCGGAGCTCTAAAAGATGGATGTACCTGTAGGGGTTATCAAATGTCTGTCTTGGACCAGCGATAAGACTTGATGATTCAGTCTGTAACAGGAGGAGATTGAATGCATCAGTTTGGCCCTTATATATTTAACAGTTAGTTGTGACAAATAAGCACTACTGTTTAAAACCATTAGACTCAGTAAGACTCCTTTTACAATTATGAATTATTTTATTGATATTTTAAATATTACATGTTTGGAGTTATTTTGGTCTTAGGTTTGTTTAGAGTACTGAAAATGCTTTTTGTTGTATTTAAAGCTTAAATTGATAGTTCACCCTTTACTTGTTCCAAACCTCTATTAGTTTCTTTCTTCTGTTAAACACTAAAGAAGATCATTTGAAGAAAGCTGAAAACCTGTAATCATTATTTGTAGGAAAAACAACTATAGGTAAGTCAATGGTTACAGGTTTTTAGCTTTCTTCAAAATATCTTCTTTTGTGTTTAACAGAAAAAATATAAACTTATAAAGGTTTAGAATCGATGACGATGAGTAAATAGTGAGCAGATTTTTTTATCTATCCCTTTTAAGGGAAACTATCCCTTTAAATTGGTGTCAAAAACATTTGCAAAATTTTTATTAATATATTATAAACAAATTATATACCAAAAATATATACCAATTACAGCACGGAATCCAAAAGAATTTTTGAAAGAAAATTGTTGAGTAAAACAGGATAATTGCAATAATAACATCCTTTTGATCATTCCCATTTCCATTTCGTCAGTAAATTATTACATTTGCTTTATAAAACAGATGCAGGATTAAAAGAAATTAATACTTGTATTTGGCAAAGATGTTTTAAATTGATTTTAGACCAATAAATGCATGTTTAATGTATTAAATGCTTTCCATTCATTTTAGAATATACAAAATGTATACAAAAGAGCGTCTTAGTAACACAGCAAAGGCAGCACAGAAGCCAAACTTGAAGCTGTATATATTTTCAAAAATGTGTATTTAAACAAACCGTGTAATGTGGCATAGTCTTCACACTGAATTCTGAGCAGACACAGACCTGATTAGGCCCGTCTTAAATCAGCTGCCTTAACTTAGAGGTGTGGTCTATTAATATCAGGTGGCATTTTGTACAAATGTCAACACAAACTTTAATTACAAACTACATGTTACTTTTGACCAATATGTACAAACCTATGTGCGTTAAAAGGAATATAATATATGCTAGATTTACTGGCTTACTCTTTTTTTATATTAAATTTAAACACACCCAACTATAGCCAAATTAATATTTTAACTGCAAACATATTTTGTCTTTTATCTTTGCAAAAAAAATTAATTAACATTTTAAATTTCAGTTCCATCAAATGTTTAAATGTAACCAACCAACCCATACAAAATGTAATTATTGAGAACACATTTGTTATTACTGACATTATGCATTCATTTTTATAAAACATGTAATGGAAATACTTCAAACTTGTATGAGGAAGTGATAAATAAGGTGCGACTATTAGCAGTGGGACAAAACTAATAGTGTGACTTTCACATCAGAACTCTTGACATTTACACTGACATAATTTTCAACAAAAAAACTCAGACAATGCAAACTAAAGGGCATATTATAGCACTATAACCTGTGTATTGAGCAATACTGTGACACATGAAACGATAACTTGTAATTTAAAAAAAAACAGTATACAGTGATTTATTTTACAGACTTGGAAACGGCAATCCAATAAGCAGAGGAGACACATTTATTTCTACAAACTTTTCAAACAGTTGAAGTTCAAATCATTAGCCCTCCTGTGAATTTGGTTTTCTTTTTCGAATATTTCCCCAATTAGATTTCAAGAGTTCACACTTAGCTGATGATTTATCATAAGCTTGTTTGGGATCCTCGAGCCCAGAGCTCCCTCCCGTTCAGATAGTTCTCAAAAACTCCCCTGCTGAAATAGCTAAGGTGAACTACTTTGAGAAGAAATGATACTGATGCAGGGAACTAGACAAAGATTAGTTTGTTACGTATGACACATATCTTTGGACCGTGGGAGGAAACCAGGGAACCAGAGGGAAACCTACTGTATGTGGACACAAGGAGAACATGCAAACTCAGCACAGAAACACCAACCGACCTGGTGAGGATCAGAGCCGGCGGTGTTCTTGCTGTGGGTCAACAGTGCTAACCACTGGGCTGCTGTGCTGCCTGATATATGAGAAAAAGGGGGAGAAGGGGGTTTCTTCAGACGAAGACAAATGTGGAATGAACACTGTGGTGAAATATAGTAACTTATGAATCATATGATTAGAGAATCATGATTAGATAATGTGGGACTGACTGTGGTAAATCATAAGCACGTGATCCTCTTGAAATTAATTTATAAATAAACTTCACTCAAAAGAACAAGTTTTTTTTTAAGTATTTCATATATTTTTATATTTTGATCAATATTCTTAATATTATTAGACCCCTTTAACAACATATTTTTTATTTGTCTACAGAACAAACCACTGTTCTACAGTGAATAACCTAATTACCTAATTTGCCTTGCAAAGATAAAAGAATCAGTTATAAGAAGTCAGTTATTGAAACTATTATGTTTAGAAATGTTAAACAGAAAATGAGGGGGCTAATAATTCAGGAGGGCTAATAATTCTGACTTTAATTGTAAAGTGCATCCGGAAAGTATTCATAGCGCTTCACTTTTTCAACTTTTTTTCTATGTTACAGCCTTATTTCAAAATGGATAAAAAAAAAATCTCAAAATTCTACACACAATACCCCATAATGACAATGTGAAAAAATTATTTTTTTAAATTGTAGAAAATTTATTAAAAATAAAAAAGCTGAAAATCACACATACATAGGTATTCACAGCCTTTGCTCAATACTTTGTTGATGCACCTTTGGCAGCAATTACAGCCTCAAGTTTTTTTTAATATGATGCCACACGCTTGGCACACCTGTCTTAGGAATTTTTGCCCATTTCTCTTTGCAGTACATCTCTATCAGGTTGAATGGGAAGCGACGATGTACCATTTTCAGATCTCTCTAGAGATGTTTAATAGGATTTAGGTCTGTGCTCTGGCTGGGCCACTCAAGGACATTCACTGAGTTGTTGTGAACCACTCCACTGATATTTTGGCGGTGTGTCATTGTCCAGCTGGAAGATGAACCGTTGCTCCAGTCTGAGGTCAAGAGCACTTTGAAGCAGGTTTTCATTCAGGATGTATCTGTTCATTGCTGCATTCATCTTTCCCTCTATCCTGATTAGTCTTCCAGTTCCTGCTGCTGAAAAACATCCCCACAGCATGATGCTGCCACCACCATGCTTCACTGTAGGGATGGTATTAGCCTAGTGATGAGCGGTGCCTGGTTTTCTCCAAACTTAACACCTTCCAAACGTAATGTTTTCACTCCAAAGAGTCTAATTTCAGTCTCATCAGAGCAGATAATTAAGTTTCTTATGGTCTGAGAGTCCTTCAGATGCATTTTGGCAAATTCCAGGAGTGAGGTGGCTTCCGTCTGGCCACTCTACCATACAGGCCTGATTGGTGGACTGCTGCACTGATGATTGTCCTTCTGTAAGGTTCTACCCTCTCCACAAAAGAACGCTGGAGCTCAGACAGAGTGACCATTAGGTTATTGATCTCCCTGACTAAGGCCCTTCTCCCCCGATCACTCAGTTTAGATGGCTGGCCAGCTCTAGAAAGAGTCCTGGTGGTTCCAAACAACTTCCATTTACAGCATGATGGAGGCCACTGTGCTCATTGGAACTTTCCGAGCAGCAGAAGTTTTTCTGTAACCTTCCTCAGCCTTGTGCCTTGATACATTTTTGTCTTGGAGGTCTACAGACAATCCCTTTGCCTTCATGCTTGGTTTGTGTTTTGACATGCACTGTCAACCCTGGGACCCTAGATAGGTGTATGCCTTTTCAAACCATGTCCAATCAATTGAATATACCATAGGTGAACTCCAATTAAGCTGCTGAAACATCTCAAGAATGATCAGTGGAAACAGAATGTACCTGAGCTCTATATAGAGCTGCATGCCAAAGGCTGTGAATACTTATGTATATGTGATTTTTCATGTTGTTTTTTTTATACATTTGCAACAATTTTAAAAATCTATTTTTCACATTGTCATTATGGGGTATTGTGTGTAGAAGTTTATGTAAACAAACCAAATTAACTTATTTTGGAATAAGGTTGTAACGTGGAAAAAGTGAAGAGATATGAATACTTTTCGGATGCACTGTATATATATATATATATATATATATATATATATATATATATATATATATATATATATATATATATATATATATATATATATATATATATATATATAACTGTACATGTTTCTGCATAAAATGTGTGTACTGTACTTGTTGGAGCACAGTTGTGTTGTTGTTTTTCAGGGTTTTGGCTGGAAGGAGCACAGGAGGGTCTGAAGCCTCGCTGGAGTTTTGAGCCAGCTGCTCTAAAAGCATGTCTGCAATATCAAGAGGAAAAACATGAAAATCAGTGATCCTCGCAAACTTTCACACACTCACTGACCTAAAAGATCACACCAAAACAATAATGATTACGTTTGCTGGTAGGTGATGCGGTAAAGGTAAAGACACTGTATGCATGTTAGCAATCTGTGTCACTTCCTGAGGAAGTGAGAAGACACATCACTGTTATTGCAACGGACGCAGAACATGAAAAACATGAATTTTACACTTTTGCCACACTTCTCTGCTGACCTAGAAAGATTCACTCAATAGTCATGGCTTCACTCACTTCTGTGTAATAATACCAAGAAAAATAGACGCTCTCGAATACTTTCACAAGAGCATCAGTTTATTGTTAACTACATGACTTCAAGCAATTTATTATAGAAGTTTTTAATTCTTACATGGAAGAAAAATTTGACAAGATGACAAAACTGTTACAAAAATAAAACAATTTAATAGTCCTAAGGAATAAGATACAATGCATTTATAGATTTATTAATGAATGAATAGGGAAATTGTATAGAATAAATCGGGTATTACTGCAAACATGAACTTATCATAGTTATGATCCAATGTTTTTTTTTACTTACATTTTTTAAAATATCTGCTAATTAACAGGTTCTAATTTTGTGATTTACAAGTATTTCCTGTTTATTTACGGTTGTGAATTGCATAATGGGAGGTTGATCTCTGTTCTGTCGACGTTTCATGTTAAAATTTCAACTCTACAGTTTAACAAAGTGACTTTTGTTGACATGAACATAGTCATAGAACATTTACATACACTGTAAAACCCAAAAAGTTAAGGTAACTCAAACCATTTGAGGAAACAGATTGCAACAAACCATTTAAGTAAAAAACTAATCTAATCTAGCAATTTGAGCACAGTAAAACCCGATAAATGAAGAGAACTCCAACTGAGTACTGTAAAACTCAATAAGTTAAAGCAACTCAAACCATTTGAGGAAACCAAATGCAACAAACCATTTGAGGTAAAAACTAATCTATATGAGTACTGTAAACTTACTCCATTTAAGTTGAAGTAGTAAGGTATTTAATTAACTCATTACCTTCAAAATTGAGTTCAAACCTCTTTTCAAATGAGTAGAATTGACTTTCAGTCAATTTTCATTTAATTTGATAGGGTTAATGGGTTTTACAGTGTAGTAGTTTGAAATAATATAATGTATAAGAAATAATCTATGGAGAAATAAGTCTGTAAACTAACTGGCACTGTACTGGCAGCTTGTTACCAGGTTGTACCATAATTTACACTTCCAACCCAGACAATATATCACTTTAAACTGCTAAAAATATCAATAAAAGTCACTTTTTCATACTTTTCAACATCAAAAACTTTTGAAGGAAAGATCAAGATCCCCTTATGCAATTCAAAAGCAAAAATAAGTGGAGAAAAAAACAAACATGAATTTTTTTTTTTTTTATAATATATGTAAAGTTAATTATGTTTCATCTTCCTTTTTTATGTTATATGAGATTTTAGGTAACATTTCAAGTTCTATAGGGGAAAGATGAAATTATTTAGTTTGATGTAGATTATACTGTAGTAATCAAAAATAATAGTAAAATGAAAACACTCCTGACTCCTAACTGTATACAGTTTCTACTACAATATCATATATCTCTGAATATTACTCTTTAAAAAGATAGATCTCTAATCAAATAAGAAGGATTTCTTTTCAAACATGGTAGTTTAACAGGTCAGAACAAGCATGAACAACTAACAAAACATAAAAATAATCACTTATCGAAATTACAGTGCTCAGTATTAAACGTTTAGCATTTAAATTTAGGCATTATTTTGACAATATATAAATATCTGAATTGTGAAACTGTTTATATGTTCTTTATTAAGCAACACAATTTTATATGACTGTGTTTTTAACATGCCCTTCTCTTTTAGGCACTGGTTTTAAAATGAGGCGACGGTTGATCAACTCACCGAGTTCATCCATGGTGGTGTGGGGTGTGAGAAGAGCGTTGTGCGTGTTCCTAGTGAGTGTGTGTGTGGTGAACTGATCTGATACATGCAGCTGTGGGTTGAGCCCAATCTCACATGTGAAACTGATGCTGCTTCCTTTTTGTGCTCTCACTGTTTCACTCCTTTTCTCGTGTTTTTCATCCTGCTGCTTTATACTATTTGTTAAAGGCCTCTCTGAATTTTTTTGTGGTGCAGATTAAAGATGTCAAATGAGTTGTGCATCCATTTATAGATATTCATTTTATCGTTATTACTGATACTGTATATAGGCTTATTGTAATATTAGTAATATAGGGAGTGTTTTAGCAGTTTGATTAAAACAATTGGGAAATAAAATGGTGTAAAAAGTGTTGATGAAACAATTCCATACCTTGTGTTATAACTGTAAACTGCAAATATTTATATACTTAAGAACTGTAAACGCTTTTATAAATATAAATACATTCAATTATTTTGATTATATATTATAAAAAAAAAGACTTTTAAGCACTGAGTTCATCATTTAAGGTTAAAAAAGAACATATGATCATACTCACTACATTTCCCATAATTCCTAGCCATGTCGTGGAGGATTCTGGGACAGGAAACTTCCGATTAGGTTTCTGTTTCTGCAGATTGCTTGATATAATACTCTGGAAATTAAGATTTAGTTCCTGTAATAGCCTTGATTTGATGAACTCTTGCAATATTAATATATATTTTTTAATGTAGCGGCTTCTTAATTGTGTGGTAAATGTGATGTTATTTGCACTGGGTTCAGCGATAATCTGTTGACAGACTGATCGGCTGATCTTAAAAGGGCAACACTTCGAGCGAGCGGGCCCCTCAAGGAGCTATCGCAAGGGACTCATTTAAGGTATGCCAATGGTTTCCTGTGGTTTTACGTTTTATAGCATCAACTGTAGCAGTGCATCCGGTGCCACTTGCAGAAACACAGCTTAAAATATACGTTAGTCTTGACACTTTCAAAATGGCTTTTGTTTTTTAATTAAAGCAGGTGCATCAGACGTGTTAATGCACAACATCAGAGAGTCAACTACAACTACTACGAACAACCAGTGTTGCCAAAGGGAAAAAAACAACCAAATTAAAGAGAAAAATAGGTTTAAAAATGATTCTAGTTCCTAAATTAACAGATTGTAAAGTAGACAATAACCAGTTCAAAATTCTAGTTCTAGTAGGAAGTTCTAGGTAACTGTGCAACAATGTTTCCTGCTATTATTAGAGCAGTGTTACTCAACAATCATTTTTCCTGAATGTGTTTCTTAATCTTGCCAACATTTGAACCATGCTGTAACCGTGTTTTTGTGTCAGGGTCATCACAGTCACGAGGCTCTATTTTGCAACTTTGTGAACTCTAAAAAAAGTGTGAAATTATAATTTTTTTTTAAATGTATATACTTCATAACCCATGTGAATTTACACAAACTGAGAAAATAAAAAGTGTTAGGTGGTTGCACTCTCCCCTATAAGTTACATTCTTGTAGTTGTTGCTGGATTCTATTAAAGCAGTGAGTTCAAAAGTAAATAAAAAATCTAATTTATAATTAAAGCTGCAAGCAGCGATGATAGGGACCTCGCACCCGTGCTCACCGCCTCCCGGTGGCCTCAGGATGACAGAGAACAGTGAACAATAACAATTTAAGCCGATATATATAAAAAAACCTGAGAAATCCACAGATTTATGCCAAACTTCCTCCTGTCAGCAGGTGGCGCTATGACTGTGACTCAGTTTTGTCATGTAGATGTCTTCAGGAGAATAATTTTATCAACTATGAGAAGTTTCAAGCAGTTCTGACATTGTGTGGCTTAGTTATAAGCCAAACTACCTTCTGCCAGCAGGTGGCGCTATAACTGACTCAATATTGTTATGTAGATGTGTTCAGGAGAAGACTTTTATCAACCATGTGAAGTTTCAGGCAGATCGGACATTGTGTGGCTGAGTTATAAGCCAAACTACCTGTTGCCAGCAGGTGGCGCTATGACTGTGACTCAATATTGGCATGTAGATGTGTTTAGGAAAGGACTTTTATCAACCCTGTGAAGTTTCAGGCTGATTGGACATTGTGTGGCTGAGTTATAAGCAAAACTACCTTCTGTCACTAGGTGGCGCTATGACTGACTCAATATTGGCATTTAGATGTCTTCAGGAGAGGAATTTAATCAACCATGTGAAGTTTCAGGCAGATCAGACATTGTGTGGTTGAGTTATAAGGACTTCCTTTTTCATGGCGAAGCGTTGAGGTTTGTCATGCCGCCACGGACACGCCCCTCTGCGAAAACTCTAGATCTTCACAATATATCATCGCTTGAGCTTTCAGATACACAACCAACCAAATTTGGTGCTTATATGAAAAAATTTGTGGGAGGAGTTTATTACTTTGTAAATCATGACATTTTCTGTGGCCAGCAGGTGGCGCTATAACTGTATCTGGATATCGGCATGTAAACTTGTTCTGGTCTGGACTCTTATCAAACGTGTGAATTTTGAGGCAGATCGGATAATGCATGCCTGAGTTATAACGACCTCCTGTTTTGTGGCGAATCGTTAAAGTTTGCGAGGCCGCCACGGACACGCCCATCGACAAAACCTCTTAAGCTTCGCAATTTAACATCGCCAAGGCCTTTAGATGACAAAACCCAATTTTGGTGTCGATAGCAAAAAATCCCTAAAAGGAGTTCGTTAGGATACAAAGCCTGGAAATGGCAAAAATGCCACTTATTTGCCGCAGGAAGTTAAAAATATCCGACTTCCTGTTGGGTTTGAGATATGGCTCCAAGAGACTTTTTCGTATGTTTTGGCGTGTTTGAGGTGTGTGCCAATTTTCGTGCATGTGCGTGATTCGTAGATCAGGGGCTCGTCCGTTTCATTTTTATAGGTGGCGCTGTCGAGTCATTTTGCCACGCCCACTTCATTATTGTTATGTGGATGTGTTTAAGAGATGACGTTTATCAACCATGTGAAGTTTCAGGCAGATCGGACATTGTGTGCTTAAGTTATAAGGACTTCTTGTTCCATGGCGAAGCGTTGAGGTTTGTCATGCCGCCACGGACACGCCCCTCTGCAAAAACTCTAGATCTTCACAATATATCATCGCTAGAGCTTTCAGATAACACAACCCAAATTTGGTGCTGATACGAAAAAATTTGTGGGAGGAGTTTGTTACGATGTAAAACATGTCATTTCCTGTGGCCAGCAGGTGGCGCTATAACTGTATCTGGATATCGGCATGTAAACGTGTTCAGGTCAGGACTGTTATTAAACATGTGAATTTTGAGGCAGATCGGATAATGCATGCCTGAGTTATAACGACTTCCTGTTTTGTGGCGAATCGTCAAAGTTTGCGAGGCCGCCACGGACACGCCCATCGACGAAAACTCTAAAGCTTCGCAATTTAACATTGCCAAGGCCTTTAGATGACAAAACCCAATTTTGGTGTCGATCGGATAAAATCCCTAGGAGGAGTTCGTTAAAATACAACGCCTGGAAATGGCAAAAATGCCACTTTTTCGCCGCAGGAAGTCAAAAATATCCAACTTCCTGTTGGGTTTGAGATATGGCTCCAAGAGACTTTTTCGTATGTTTTGGCATGTTTGAGGTGTGTGCCATTTTTCGTGCATGTGTGTGATTCGTGGATCGGGGGCTCGTCCGTTTAATTTTTCTAGGTGGCGCTGTCGAGTCATTTTGCCACGCCCACTTCCGAAACCCCTAAAACCCAGCCATTTACACCGCGTTTGGTGTGTGTGCAAATTTTCGTGAGTTTTCGGGCATGTTTAGACCCTCAAAAGTGCCCCGATTGGGGGCGGAATAATAATAATAATAATAATAATAATAATAATAATAATAATAAAAAACGGAGCAATTCCAATAGGGCCTACGCACCGTTTCGGTGCTCGGTCCCTAAATATCTAAGTAGACATGGAAGTACATGGAAGAGCCATAATTTGATTTAATATAATTTATTTATAGTGATTAAATTCATGCACCGTTTACACATGTCGATATGTTTAGTTTTGTACATTTGTTGATTTCACCCCTACTTCTTTGTTTGTAATGTTTTAAGTTATATTACAAAATGTGAGAGAAATAAAGACCAGAGCAACACAGTTTTTTGACTGGAGTTTATTGTTTTGCTGCTTGAAAATTCAGTAAACATCTTTAAATGGAAAGAAACCCGAGTTAATTTATTGCTCAACTGATTTTGAAATTCTGATAAGTACACTTTTTTTTATTTATTTTTTTATTAGTACAATTCTGATAGTATCTTTTAAGACAGGCCTATTGTGGGCGCTAAGGTTGTTACTGTAAGTGGTTTAGATGGTTTTATAAAACCCATCTGTTTATTTTCTTTTTAATAGTGTTTAATAGAAGAATTAATACAGGAAAAAAAACTACATTACCCACAGGCCCGTGCAGAGACCGTCCAAAGGGCATGTGCAGGATACATTTTTTGAAGAGCCGGGGGAGTGGGGGGTGGTTGTTGTTGTTGTTGTTGTTGTTGTTGTTGTTGTTGTTGTTGTTGTTGTTGTTGTTGTTGTTGAGCGCGCGTACTCAAGAGCGGTGTTGTCGCGTGCCTACTGAAGGGCGGGACGGAGGGTGTGTTGTGTCGCGGGGGCACTTTATATCCAAGACTAAAAAGGGCATGTGCACTGCACAGGTTAAGTCCTATGTGTGCACGTGCCTGATTATCCATGACACTAAATGAAACTGTATTTTTCACTCATTTTTTTTTTTAATTTTGTCATTCACATGAAGTTCTATTATTTTTCCTCGTTAAAGCCATTAAATAATGTAATGTAATATAATGTGTATTTATATAGAGCATTTATTGTATATGGCCATACACCAAAATCGCTTCACAATCATGAAGGGGTCTCTCCACACCACCACCAGTGTGCAGTATCCACTTGCAGCCAGTGATAGTAAATGACGACATAATTCCTCTTTAAATTCACGTTTGTTTTACAGCAATGCAAATACAAATCTCTCGTAGACTTCAGATGTCTTATCATTGTGTTTCAGTGTGGTCCGAGTGGTTCCAAACCTTTGAGTTTCTTTCTTCTATTGCAAAAAAGCTGAAAAGCTGTAACCATTAGTTTCCATAGTAGGAAAAACTAATACTATGGATGTCAATGGTTATAGGTTTCCAACATTATTTAAAATATGTTGTTTTTTGTATCTCTGTAACTCCATAAAGGTCTGAAACAAGTAAAAACTGAGTAAACGATGATTGAACTTCTCTTTAAATTCACATTTTTGTCCTACAGCAATGCAAAAAACAAACCTCTCATTGACTTGTAATGTCTGTCATTGTGTTTCAGTGTGGTCTGAGTGGCACCGCTCAGCGTGATGTCATCCACTAAAGAAACTGTGCTGCGTCAGCGCCGCCGGGAGCTGGACGCCCGCAGGAGTAAGTCTCGCGTGCGTCTGGGCTCGTGTCTGCAGAGCTGGGCTCAACTCAAAGATAAACTGGGCTTCTCTCTTCACTCGGAGCTTGCTCAGCATCTGCTGGAGAGGTACAGTACAGTCGAGAGATACAGTTACCCTTAGACCTGCTGCATGACAGTTCGCTGGATGCGCTACTCTACATTTCCAGCTGAATTACATTTGCAGTTGTTGATTCTGGCTATGAAGATCAGACTTGTTCTGATCCAGTTCCAGATCATACAGAGAAGAGTCAGGAATTATGAGTGAGCTTAACAGAAAGTGTAGGCAGAAAAAACAAAGACGGACTTGCGGTTTATGGAGTTCAAAACACATTTAGATTTGGTCAACGGCCAAGGTCTTCTGGTGGTGTGTGTGTGAAGCATTATAGATTATATGTGGTCTAACTGTATGACATTTTCTGCTTTCTGTTTTACAGCTATGTTTCAAGAGTTTGTATGAAGTGTTCAGGTAAACCACAGACTCCCAACTTAAAGGAATCCTTCACCCATAAAATTACCCTTCTGACATAATTTATAGTTCTAAATGCTTTAGCAATTCAATATAAAGTTTTTCTAAACCTGCATGACTTGGTCTTAACCATAATTTTAAGCAACGCATTCACTGAAATGTAATTTAACTTAGTATTTTAGTCTTGGTTTACATTACAAATATTTAAAAAAATATTTGAAAAAAATATAGCATGCCAAAGTTTACAATAATCTGTAATACACTCCCATGATGTACTACAAATTACATAAACAAGTCTCCCTGTGGTGAATACATTTTGTTGGTCCCTTTTTATATTTAATAGTAAAAAAAAAAAAAAAAAGATGTCTGATAATATTTTTTCTTCTGGAGATAGTCTTATTTGTTTTATTTCGGCTGGAATAAAAGCAGTTCTTATTTTTTTAAAATCATTTTAGGGACAATATTATTAGCCCCATGAGCTATTTTTTTCCGATAGTCTACAGAAAAAACCATCATTATACAATTATTAATATATATATGTATGTGTATATATACAGTATACAGCGTGGGTTTCCTCTGGGTGCTCCGGTTTCCCCCATAATTCAAAGACATGTGCTATAGGTGAATTGAATAAACTAAATGGTTCGTAGTGCGTGTGCGTGCGTGCGTGCGTGTGTGTGAGTGTTTCCTAGTACTGGGTTGCAGCTGTAAGGGCATCCACTGCGTAAAACATATGCTGGAATAGTTGGTGGTTAATTTCACCGTGGCAGCCTCTGAAATAGAGACTAAGCTAAAGGAAAATGAATGAATGAATGAATTTATCATTTTCCCAGGTCTGGGTTTTGTCTGGAAGGGCATCCACTGAGTAAAACATATGGCAGAATAGTTGGTGGTTCATTCCACTGTGGCAACCCCTGAGAAATAAGGCACTAAGCCGACGAAAAATTAATGAATTGTATCATGGAAGGTTCTTTATGGAATTGTAGTTCTGTCCCTCAGTAAAGCCATTGAGTTCTCATTCAGTCTTGTATCATTGAATTTTTGCCCAATGTTTGTATGCTTCATTGCTTCAAATCTAATTTTTTAATTTTGGGATTCACATCATAGCTGCTAGCTTTGGTTTATTTCTCACAACACTGGAATAAGTCTTTTATGAAATGAAAAATGTAATAGTACACTGCTTAATAATGAGAATACATTAATCCACTCCATTTGTTTTAGAAAGTAAGACAAAAATTCAGAGTAAAAGACCGGGTCGAATCAAGAAGTAGAACTATAAAGATACTATAGCATCCACACCAGCTGTGTGCACTTTAAATGCTTTAAATTCATTTATTCATTCTACTTCAGATTAGTCCGTTTATTCATCCATATTCATCCAGCATGTGTTTTATGCAGTGGATGCCCTTCCAGCTGCAATCCTGTAGTGGAAAACACCCAAACACACTCATTCACACACATGCACTATTGACAATTTAGCTTATTCAATTCACCTATAGCACATGTCTTTGGACTGTGGGGGAAACCGGAGCACCTGAAGGAAACCCATGCAAACATGGGTGAAAACATACAAATTCCACACACAAATGCCAACTGGCCCAGCCGGGACTCGAACCAGCGACCTTCTTGCTGTGAAGCAATAGTACTACCCACTGAGCCACCGTGTCACCTGCTTTAAATCTTTGTGCACTTTTTTTTATTATTGTTTTTATCATTGATAATCTGTGGCATTAAATCAATTGAACTTAGGTGATGGGAAAGAAGAGACTGTATCAACTACAAAGGAGTCTTTGCAGGAACTCATCTTGATGGTCCACAACCATGGACAGACGTGTCCCCTTCCTCCTGTCCTGCAGTGTAGGCCTGTTCAAAAAACAAAACTATCAACACGCAGTCAGAGTGGAAGAATAGAGGCTGCTACTGAGCCCAAGAAATTAGCAGAAGCGGATGAGTGTTTTAAATATACATGTGAAGATGGACATCATTTTATGTGGTGTCCTTTTAACCTGGAGAAGGTACTGATTTCTAAAAATGAAGGAGATAAAATTACATCCGAACAAGGCAAGAGACAGATGAAGGAACCAGTCACAGATACAGAAAGACAAGAAATGATGACTAGATTAAAAACCAGACAGCAACAGAGAGAAGATGCTGGCACTAACACAAATAAAATGCTTGGACAAAATAAAAATGCAGGTGAATGCTTTTTCTTTAATAAATAATAATTAATAATAATAATATTTTTTTTTTCAAGGACTAACTATACACTGTAAAAAATTTGACCTTAAATTCACAGTAAATTACTGGCTAATAATTGCATTACTTTCACAGTAAATTACTGTATGTAAATTCACAGTAAATTATTGTGAGGTAGTTCACAGTAATTTACTGTGGTTTTGTCACATTAAATTATTGTGAAATTACAACCATATATTGTAACTTTACAGTAGATAATAAAGTCCGTTACTGTGATTTCACAGTATTATCTTGTAGAATTAACTATATTTTACTGTGAATTTGCAATATGATTACTGTGATTTAGCAGTAGGTTGCAGTTTAAATACCTGATTTAACTGTAAAGTTACAGTTATATCCCGGATTACTGTAATTTAACAGTTTGGTGCTGTAAAATTTCAAAGCAATTTTAGGTCACACAAAAATGAAAATTCTATCTTGATTTACTCACCCTCAGGTTGTTCCAGCTCTGTTAAAAATGATTTTTTTGTTAAACACAGGAATAAAAATATCAAATATTCCCCTTTGTGTCTAAACAACCTGAAAATGCGTAAATGATGACAGAATCTTCTTTTTTGGGTGATCTGAGAAGACTCTAAAATCAAAATAAAAACAAACACACATACATTTTACAGATTTATTTAACAGCTTAATGACATCTGTGTAAGCATTTCAGAAAACTTTCAAAAGGTGAAGGTGAAGCCTCAAAAAATCTTAAGAACATAATAACAAAAAAATCTGACATCATATGTAGCATACATATAAAAAGCAGTGCTTCAGAGTGCGCTCTCTCTCTTTCTCATATATATATATATATATATATATATATATATATATATATATATATATATCATGAATCATTTTCCTGATAATTTTACACACTTGCTGGTTGATGTGTCTTCCCTGCTTCTTTGACTTCGTCTGTCTTCCATCTCCAAACTGGTGCCCAAAAAGCACCTATAAGCAAAAGGGCAGACAAACAGTTAGCTTCACACAACACTACTGGGACAATACTGCTGCACTACAGAGCAAAATTACTATTAGCTCAGTTTGAACATTCTGACAATACTGTAGCTCAGTCAAACTGCAATCATTTAAACAAAAACATCTGAAAAACATTTCCATCACAAACACACATTCAAGAACAGTCTAACAACAAATAGTGGTTTTAATGACCTAGACAGAGCATTTTAAAACAGTTGATTTGATTTACACTTTCTGTTTACAGACTATAATCTAATGCTGGGTTCACACTTATTGCAAATTGAACACGTACATCATAGCACTTGTTCTTGAATACTAGCAGGATGTTTCTTGCATTAAGCTAATTTTTCATGATTTGAATATTAGAAAAATTTTGCAAAAAACTTGATTAAAGTGATACAGCACTTGTGTTGTATTCATTTCAATTAAGTTTTTTTGTAAATATTCCAAATATTTTTCAACGTTTTTTGAGTTTCACTTAATTTGTGCTTCCCAGTAAAAAATTCCCACTATTTATGCATTTGCAATGACTTGTATGTAATCCAGTCACCTGAATAGGTAACTTCACATATGGTATAAGAGCCCCATCCTTTTAAAGACAGCTTTCCCTCTGGTCTCCAGCACAGACAAACAAATTGAGTCTGCAACACACCCCTTTATTACAAGGGGACAAGGGGAGTCATGACTTGTGCTCCTATACATTCCTTGTTTAACCCCCCGAAAACAAGCCCTCAGTTACAATATTTATTGTAGACATTACCTTAAATTCCAGAGTGCAAAAGACATCTTCAGCATACTTCAGTTTCAGACCAGATCCAAAGTCAGTCGTTAGATCCAGGTGAGGTCCAATGACCACTCGACCCTCCAAGGAATAAGACTGTTTGTTTGATGTTGCACTGCTGGGGAAAGAAAGACTAAATTAGAGATGTTTGTGAATAATTACATTTGTTTGTAGAAACAAAGTTGACATTCCATGCTCTGCCTATTAAAAACCAAGCAAACAAACAGACATGCCCAGTAAAATTGCTAATAAAAATAAAAACTATAGTTTAAAAAAATCTTTGTCTAATATTTACTACGACTGGAAGTACTGGTGGAACTTCTGGAAGAAGAAAAAGAGTTTGTACAAGAAACTGCTCACAACAAATTTGTGAAAAACCTGACATTTAAAAATCTAATAAAAACGAGGAAGGTTCAACATTACCTTTAATAATCAAGAGAGGGGTGATTGGCATCAGTGTTTCAACATCAGTGGCTGTGGCTGCAAAAAAATATGAATATAATAAGAGTAGAATAAGACTCAACCTAACACGCGCACACACACACACACACACACACACACACACACACTCTCTCTCTCTCTCTTTCTCTCTCTCTCTCTCTCTCACTCTATATATATATATATATATATATATATATATATATATATATATATATAAGCAATTCCGTGCAAATGTCAACCTTGCCATGAAAAAAAAATAAGTTTTTACCAAAATACGGAAACCATTTCTGGGTTTTTTGTGTAAGCAAGTATTTTACAGTACTTTAAAAATACTCAAAAATGCATCTGTCAATGTTTTCAAACTATTCTATTTGATTTACCAAAGTCACACAAATGGTAATTTCACATGCGTCACATCCACAACAGAGAGATGTCACATCCATAACGACACTTTTTCCTCAGAAATGTGAAAATATTAAATTAAATTAAACCAATCAGTTTTGTTTTGTAGAGAGCCGACTCTAATCCTTTTGATTAGCATTATTTCTTTTGGGTTGTGCAGTTTAATTCACATAATTTCTACAAAGTGTGTTGTATACTGTAAACTCAGACTTTTTTTGTCACATCCATAACACATGCTTATTTTCCTCATTTAAAGTACAAAACACATTTACAGATTGATATTTTTCTGCTCCCATAACTCTGTGGGTAGTTGCTCTAGAAAATATAATCAAATTTTTCAATATAATGTTAACATATACTTTCTCTGTCAATTTATGTGTTGAATTTTTACTGCAAATGTCACATCCATAACGCTGGAATTGCTCATATATATATATAGGTTTAGATTGTGATAATGAATTTAGGTTATATTTGTGTGATCAGAATTTACACTCACCTCACACTTCAGCTATTATCAGGTACACCTGAACACCAAAGAATAAAATCTACAGTTAGTGACAATATACAATTAGTTCTCATTTGTAAATGTTAGCAATGCATTAACACCAGTGAGAAATATACAATATGTACTAAAATAATACAACTGAATTGTATTAGAAGCCTCATTTAATAAAACAGTTAAGACTTGTTTCATAATGAGTTTAGTTATTTAACTAACTTAACGTTAACGTAACAGTGAACAAAATTAACGTACATGATGGTCACTAACCGTAACGTTAACTTAAGTGAAAGCCAGAGCTTACCTTAACGTCACAGTCATTTCACCTTTACTTCAGTCTTGTACTGAAACAGAAAATGCAGTTAACAAGAAGTTAATTAAAGAAAATTCCCTTTCTTTTTTCAGGAACTAACGTTAACGTTATGCTATGTTACCTCAGAAAACACTACAATCACCATCTGGCGTCGTTAATTTCTTGTTTAAAAAAAGGCGCGCTTAAACCCTGTATGTGCGAGTACAACCAAAGTACTCGGTAAATTCCAGTTAAATGACATGCACTATACAGAAATACACATACAACAATCATTTAACGGACAAAAGTCACATTTTAACACTTACCGAGGATGAATTCGTTAGGTGAAGAGACGAGTCAGGCGTTGTCTGTGGTGATGGCGCTTGTTTGCGGTCGAGTCGAGTCAGTTCTGTTCAATGAATCGGCTCCTTTAAGTGAACAGTAAAGAGTCGAATTCGCCTGAAACCGATTCCATTTTGCATAATATTGTTAGACGCAGACATATAATTCATTAATATTTCATCATATTGCTTGGTTCGTGTACTGCTTGTACACAAATTGCATGTTGATGACTATGAGCTTATGAACACGTCTGATAAAATATCTGAATCTGATTCAATGTCACACGAGTCTTGAACCGAAGCAGTGCAAAAGTGATATATTCATTGAAATATAAAGTTAATTTTTTTCTTCGCCATTCAAAATATTACATATCTCTGACTTTAACAATCAGAATAAAGTTCGTTTGAAGTGTATTGAGAATTATTATTTTTTCCTCCCAGGATTCGTTTCGCACCAAGCTGCATCAAGCTGTAATGGTGGATGAGAAGGCACATAATATTATAAATATTGCTTGTAATATGTAATGAAATAAAGTTTTAACACTTTTTCATGCGAGAATGTAGTTCTTCAAAACCAAAATCTGTGGATTGTTAGTAAAGATTGTGTGTAATTTTAAGTGTGTTTTGCCGGTAGCGGAGATCTATGACCTCCAGGCGGTAACGGCGCTCATTACTCATGTATCCGCCGAGAGGCGCCTGTCTTCAGGCTAGACATTGGGACAATTACCCGTCTTCGATGGCTCTATATGCGTCAGAAAATGAAGTTTTAACCGTTTTTCATGCTAGAATGTAGTTGTTTAAAACTCTAATCTGTGGTTTATATATATATATATATATATATATATATATATATATATATATATATATATATATATATATATATATATATATATATATATATATATATAATTCTGAGATTAGTGACCTCCAGGCAATGACAGGTGCCCAATACTCATGAAACCGTCTAAAGCAGACATTTACCCTGACATTGAAATAATTTTTGGCTGTTTAACAGTCTTTGGTTTCATTAATTAATTACTTTTTATTCCAGTTTATTATGTTTTGGCTAAGCACACAGATATGTTCATTAAATATTAGTTCATATTCTATGTTAACTGTAAAAAAAATTAAATAATGGTGCAGTACAACCAAAAAGATGTTGGTAACCAAATCGTTTTGGGGGCTATAACATTCTGTTATTATCTGTTAAAAGTAATTTGTATTAATTTCTACGTTGAATTAAAAAAAGGTTTGAATTTCTATAACTAACGTGCAAAATATATAGTCTTTTTCACAGTAATTTGCTGTAATCATGCTACCTGCCGTAATTTCACAATAAAATTATGAATACAACATATTACTGTGAATTTTTCAGTTAAATACTGTGAAGGGATACTAATGTAATTTACTGTGAAAAATTACAGTAACTTGTTGTGAAAACCTGGAAATTTTTTACAGTGTAACCTTGTTTGCAGATGTTACAGAGACTCTTGAAGCACAGGACAAAAATGATCTGGCATCTGATTTTTCTTATTCAGAGCATGGGTACATATTGGGTTTGGTTGTTCTGCTGTGTTTTACTGGAAAAAATATTCTTTGATTTCTATTTATATCTTTAATCATGTTTTTTTTTTTTTCTGATTGCCAGATCTCCAGCAGACAGTGATGAGATGACTGTAGATGTTCCTGTCAGCCATACTGATAGGTATTCACTTTATTCATATACAATGATACATGAAAAGACTGAAAAATACAGCTAAATACTTTTCTCTAGCTATGAAGAATTTGCAGTGCTGAATTTAACCAACAGAGGGACCCAAAGTAGTGCAGATCATACTGAGAAACTTAGCGTCAGCAAAAAGGCGGGAATACTTCAAAGTAACAGGTGATACTTTTCTAACAGAAGATGTGCTTCATATTTTCAAATGATTTGGTTGTAGTTAAGAGTTCTTTTTCTCCTCAGTTCACAGTCGTTGAAAAAGGATATGTCTCAGATTGGGGGCAAGAGGAAAAGGTTTGTTTTTTTGTTGTTGTTTTTAAGCAGACATTACATTTTAAATAATAGTTTACATTTCTATACGTTTTATTTTATTTCTATGTATAGTTATAGTTATACAGATGGTCCATTTTGTGTTGCTGTCTCCATCAAATAAAACTGAAATATTATTTAATAAAGTGTATATTTTATTATTTTAAAACTTGTCAAAATATGGGTGAAATAATTATTTTAAAAAGTAATAAAATGCATGTTAGACGTTTTTATAATCTTTACAATTATAAAAAAAAGATTAATGATTAAATTATTAAATAAACACAATTAGGTCAGTTTCTGCTACATTTAGTTAAAATATGTCTCTGAATGAATGTTTCTAGTTTACTATCCATTACTATCTTTAATACCATAAGAAAATATAAATGTTTAAAATAAATAGAGCCTTAGTAAGTATAATATTTTTCTAAATATTCCTGAAAACATTTTGGTTAAACATCTGTTTACATCAGTTTAGTGTTTTCTGTGAATCATGATGATTTTTTAATAACAAACAGGATACAGTGTATCGTATAGAAAATAAATATTGAATCTGTTTTACATTTGCTTGAAAACAGGTGATTGTCCTGCATTTATGAAAAATACTTAGTATTATTTATTGTGAATGCCTTATGATGTCCTACTGTATTATATGTTTAGATAATATCACAAAAACTCAATGTGTTCACAGAAAATCAACATCCAAATTAATTTTATCTTGTGAGTTTGATGGCTGCGATAAGATTTTCTCCAGTCGACAATATTTAAATGTAAGTTCCATGTCAATATTACCAGCGCATCACACATTCGTTAGTCTTTACCAGACTAACACAACTTTTCATATATTCCGACTGTTAAATAAGAAAACAAAAAAGCATCAGCACTGGATCTTTTCTTCTCCTCAGCATCATATCAAATATCAGCATCTGCATCAGAAGACCTTCACCTGCTCGCATCCCTCCTGCAGAAAGTCCTTTAACTTTAAGAAGCATCTGAAGGAGCATGAAAAGTTGCACAGTAGTGAGTGTTCAGTCCATTTTACAGATTTTATGTGACAGATTTGTCAGCTACATATTCATGATACAAATCTTTTTCAGAGCATTCTTTGTAACTCTACAGATAATATATGTGTAAATCCAGGTAGATGAGCAGTTTCTGAAATACTCCACCAATCATGTTAAAAAGTGATTTAAATAATATTTCATCTCCATTCTGATGCTCAGTTTAAACTTCAGCGGATCACCTTAACTACGTCTGTATGCTTAATAATATTGAGTTGCTCTCATGTGATTGCTGATTAGATATTCGCATTAGGAAGCAGTTAAACAGGTATATTTAATAAAATGTTAAAGTGTGTCTATGTTTTAGCTTGTGAGTTGAAGATCTGTTTTGACAGCAACTGTTAATTGCAAATAATAAGCCTAGAGAAACAAATTAGTTACAGGTTAGTCAACGTTTCAAATGGAGAAGACAACACTTTCCAAAAACCAGGTGTTTAATTATATTCTAATGTATTTTCATGCAAATTAATTTGGTTCAAAGTAGCCTAGTTAGGTAGATGAATAAAAAAGTAGGTTTCTGTAGATATTATGCATGTATATGCAATGTACTTACTGTAGTATTTTATAAGTGCATATGTTATGAGATGTGTTATAAGTGTCTTTTATGAAATTATTTAAATGTTAGCATTTCAAAAAAAGCATTACAAAACACAAAAGGAAATCCAGTCCAGATAATTATACTTATCAATATTTCCATCCAAAGATGCAAATTAAAATTTAAGCACATAACTGGAAAATCACATATAAGACATGCAAATAAAGCAGTGTTTCCATCCAATAAGAGAACAAAATTGTCACTTCCACATTAACTGCTGTCAAATACCAACAGTAAAGACGGAATTTGCTGCGGTAAGAGAAGCTGCATCAATCTTTTCTTTATTTAATAAATGACTTGCAGTGTTGGGGAGTAACTAGTTACATGTAACACCGTTACGTAATTTAATTACAAAATAAAAGTAACAGTAATTAGTTACAGTTACTAAGAAAAATATGTAATTAAATTACAGTTACTTTTGAAAATGTTAAAAATTACAAATGGGGTTACATCTAATATTTTTCTTTAAATCTCTGTGATATGTTGAATAATATTAATCTATTGCTTTGCCTGTTTTTGATATGCACGATGGCTTCTGCTAAGGCCATTTAATCAAGCGCTGATTCTTTTGATTTGCGGCGAAACCACGGGCGTAAATCCCGGGGGGAACATGTTCATTGTCCTCCTCACCAAATAAAATATATAAATATATATATATATATATATATATATATATATATAAATATATATATATATATATATATATATATATATATATATATATAAACGCACTCTCTATTTTGAAAAATATGTGTGTGTATACCTAAAATAATTGTCTAAGTAGAAAAAAAAACGCATTTATTATTTAAAATGCATTTAGAAAGAGTTCACCCCCGCTTCCTCATAGTGGTTTGATCCACCTACTCCTTAAGTACACGCAGCCTGTCACAGTCAAAGACAGACAGACGCAGAAGTTAGGTGTGTGGCTACAGGTCAATGTAGAATTTGAGTAAGTATGGTGCATTAATCACTAAAAAAAAATCGATTCTCTTCAAAGTTAATGCAGAATCATTTATAAATTAGTTGCGGCAAAAATGCAGATTACAGATGTCCATGAATCTGCTGTATTAGCGGTTAAAATTACTCATGTAGTTAACGTATGCTTGTTTAGCTTGTTACGTTAGTGGCGCACTGCAAAATAATACGCCAAAGTGCATTGTTTCATTTGTGATGGCTTGGCATAATGTTAACTTTACATTAACGGCCACAATTAGCATATTGTTTATCTGTGGATTTGCTAAATGAGCACTGTGTGCTACGTCCAAACTAGCCCCACTTTATTTTTTGTATAATCAATTTCAGTTCTGTTCTTAGGTGACTAAATTAATTTAAAATATAAAATGTCCTTGTTTTTATTGTTTTGATGATTTTTATGATAGTTTTTCATTCTTTGTGTAAAGCACTTTGAATTAGCATTGTATATAAAATGTGCTACAGAATAAACTTGCATTGCAGTGTCGTGGACTAGATAAAATGATTGAGGTAAAGTTGGTTTTATATTCGCACATTCATTCAGTGACAGCTCCATACATTGTTTACCATGGTACTTTGAATATTTGAACTGAAATCTCATGCAAGTTTGACTTCAAAACAACATTAATAATAATAATAATAATGCATTTTATTTGTATAGCACTTTTCCTACATACATGGAACTCAAGGCACTTCACAAACAACAAACAGGCATTGTAAAATAAACCAAATACAAAATAATGTATATTAGACAATTAAAGCAAAATATATACTCAGATAAAAGCATACATGTACACACATATATGCATACATCTACACAATCACACACAATATTCTTTACATACATGCACACACACCGTACATGCATATGTACATAAACCTATACGATATAGATTAATTGCATAAACTTCACAAACTTATAGTCATACGCAATTTTAAAAAGGTGCTTCTTAAGCTTTTTAAAAATAAATTCTGGGGGATTCTTTTACTAAATTTGGGAGAAAATTCCAAGATTTTGCAGCATAGTGACTAAAAGAACAGATCGCATCAGATTTACAGAGTGAAGTTCTAAAAGTCGAGTGCTAGAAGAGCGTAGCAAACGGTTTGGATTATATTTTGATAAGCAGTCAGAAAAGTATGAAAGGTGTCATGTTGTGTAGTGCCTTATAAACTAATAAAAGAATCCTAAAATTTATTCTATTAATGCTGCTGTGATATGTTCTTGTGTCTTCAATTTCAATAAAACTCTGGCTGCTGTATTTTGTATCAGTTGCAACATCTTTATAGAACCTTTAGGTAAACCATTATAATATTAACACTAACTGTAAACAATGCTGTACTTTGATGGTTGTTGGCTGCTAATATAATTTTACTATTTAGAATTTCCAATGAATACTCTTCTGAGGTTATTATGAGAGACTGAATGTGCAAATATAAAACCAACTTTACTCAATGATAAAATGACAGAGAAAAGGAAAATGGACATAAGATCATTTTTCAGTGCAGCAAAACTCCCAAGTACAAAAAGTTCACATATTAGGCAATTTGGCTTTCAGAATGAGTGCTTATGAAAATACTAATGTCACATTATCAATCACAGGCAGAGGAGAAAGAACTGATTGAGAAACAGGCAGAGCAGGGTCAGTCAGATGTACAGTGTCAGGTAAGGGTGTTGTGCTTTATTGAAGGAATAATAACAATTCTTTTAGGGGTGAACAATTTTTAAAAATGTTTTCTGAGTTGTGGCTGTTTAGCAGATGAACCTCACAGGCTCGCCAATTTACAATATGATCTCTCAATTTAACAAGTGTAATGTAAACCAGTTAGTTATTATGAGTATGGAAAACGTCTTTTCCTGCATTTATTCGGCTTCAGGAGTCAGTCTGTTGACTGTAAACAACACAACAAACAATGCAATAAATAGTTTTCAAGAAAATTTTGCTTTGTCAATGAACCTGAGAAAAACTTTAAAAATAACCATAATGATGTAGTCTCCATGCTGTAATATGAACAATAAAACCATTTTTAACTGCGGAGACATAAGTACAATTCAGCTGTATTATTTGTGTCTCCTTCAAAAAATCTTTAAAAAATTGCTCATAAGAAATGTTATATTTATTGTCCCCCCTACTGTTAAATCAAATTAATGGACATGTCTAATCCTCCTTGCCATTAAAAAAGCATGAGGAAGCATCTGCAGGTATGTAAGCTAGCGTTTCTTTGTTTTATAAAAGCAAATGTTTTTGTCGTTATCGTGAGTGTACAGAAATAAAAACAGACCCTTTAATTTCTAATGATATATTATGATTTATAAAGTTATCGATTTGTGAATTTCAGGGCACCAGCAGACTCCTCTGGCCAAAGTGATGTTATCACATTACCAGTGTAGCTAGCTTAACTACATTTCTCAGTAGCGAGACGGTAGCTTCGCTAAAAAATCAAATAGCTTTTCACAGTAGCGAAGCTATTTTATTAGTGAAGTAGCGCAGTAGTGTCCACACAAGCTACATTTACAGATCGTGGATCAATATTGTTTAAAATGTGTAACACCTGGTTTTATTGGATTTTTTTTGTTTTTGCTGTTATATACTATAATTTACTCCTGTTTGGTACAGCATATTATTTACAGTAAATAATTAAAATGAACAGTTCTGCCTCATATGTTTCATTGGCAGTTTTATTGATCACTAAGATGTGATTGATTTGGATTTAAGTGACTTCTATTTAAAAATGAAAATTTCAAAAATTAGATGTATTTTTTTTATTGCAAATGCCCCATAATTCACCTGCACAACTAACTAACATTGTGATTTTGTAACAACAGTAAACATGTTTTTGTGATAAGGTCTGGTTTTGTGGTGGCTCTACTTTAAATTTAAATAAATTAAATTAATTTTATTTAAGTGTTGAAAGCTTTTGAGATTCTAACAGTAAACAGAGCTACTGTAAGCTCACTCCTGCTCTGTATAAATGATTGAAAATTATTTAGTTGAAAATGTTTGTTAGAAAATTAAAAGTAATCAAAAAGTAATCAAATGTAATTAGTTACTTTACTTTTATAAAGTAATTGAAAATTACAGTAACTTATTACATTTTAAATAGGGTAATTTGTAATCTGTAATCTATTACATTTCCAAAGTAACCTTCCCAACACTGATGACTTGTGCCTCAGAAGGCAGTATGTTGACACGCAATGAACACGTGATGGCATTTGAAGGCCTGAGATGTGGAGCACAGACACTTTTGACAATTCTAGAGGAAATCAATAATATTAAAATACCATATAAATATAATAAAAATTTCCATCGTAGTTTATGCGCATCTTTACTTATTGAGTAAAAAGTTGGTCCTACTCAGTTATGTGCATACGTTTTTCATGTGCATTTTCAAAATTTATGCGCATCTTTGCATTTCCATCAACTGTTTTTAATGCGCATATCCAAAATGCACATATAAATAGGTGGATGGAAACAAAGCTACTGTCCACATTGACTATCAGGACAGTTTTGTCAGGACTACTTTTTGTACAGTAAGTACAGTAATAGAGATGAGTTGATGTTTTTTTTCCTGCTGTTCCTGTTAATACGTTTTTCTCCCTGTGCTTCTTTATGTCTGTGAGATCAGCGAGACTATATCTGTGAGTTCTGTGCTCGGGCGTTTCGAACCAGCAGTAACCTGATCATCCACCGCAGGATACACACCGGAGAGAAGCCGCTGCAGTATGAGTTTCACCACATATTCATTAGGCCTTTTGTTTATGCCAAAGGATTGTGTAACTCCCAACTCATTTTTTAACAAACTTTCAATCAATATTGAACACAACTAGATTGCTCAAGGGTCTTTTATGACAGCTTTTTCTATCTTTCCTTTTGAGGTGTGAAGTGTGTGGCTTCACCTGTCGACAGAAAGCCTCTCTGAATTGGCACATGCGGAAACACAATGCTGAGAGCACCTACCAGTTCCCTTGTGAGATCTGCGGCCGTCGCTTTGAAAAGAGAGACAATGTTACGGCTCACCGTAGCAAGAGTCACCCAGACTATAATACAGGCACTCTGGAAAGATCTCTTCCCCTTCCTCCCTCTGACCCACTCCTGCATCCCTCGAGGCACCGCGGATCTTCCCCTTCTGTTTCCAAGAATCAACCCACTGCAGAATAAGAGTTGTGACAACAGTTTGAACACTCTTGACCTCAAGCAATCTCTAATGTGGGATTGGTTGGTAAACAAAATCTCCATGCGGTGCCTTAATAATGTTGTTAGTTCTTATTTTGTTTTTGTTTTTTAGATTTTTTTCAGAGACCGTGAATAGACCATCAGTATACACAGGTCAGTATTTGACAAATTGAGTACGCTTACATGGACACCAATAATCTGATCTGAATACTATTAAGACAATACTCTGATTGATAGTCTACCATGTAAACAGCGAGTTTTGATTAATTTAATAAAATTAAGACATATGCTGATTTTAGCCGCATTATTGAAGTGCAGTACAGACATGTAAACTATGTCAAACTATTTTCATCATGTAGTTTTATCGCATTTTGTGACAGGATAGTCTATACACACACACGACTGTTTGACACTATTCTCTGCACCTACCAAGTCAGTGAAGGACCACAGACATCTGCATCGTGAAATGCGGAGATTCTTTTTTCATTCGCCTTGAGGTATCAAATTCCATTAAAAACACTTATCCAGCAGTTCATACTCACATCCAATATCTCGTTTGTCCCAAAGAGCATGCATGAAATGTTCCTAAATGAAAGTGAAAGCTAAAAATGTAATGAATTAAAGATGAAACACCTGAAATTATGTGAAACTCCTGAGGAAATGTGGATAGCGTGCTGACGCAATGACGTTAATTGAATTATGGGCTATAACATGTTAAACGGATTTATGAAAGGAACATTCACAAAGCAACTCATGTAAACGCCTTAATCATATTATTGTCTTATTCGGATTAAGGCAAACCATTTGATTACTGATGTCCATGTAAATTTAGTCATTGAATGTTTGTCTTGAAATCCTTTTTGTTAATGTTATTGGGTGTCTAAATCAGCTTGGTAAGTCGTGATGTATCGTGATGTTTTTATTTAAAACGTTTCCAGGTCCAAGCAACTACTCATTTGAATTAAGAAAATTTTAGTTTGTTCACTTGCTGCATCACAAATACCAAAATTTGTAACAATTTATAAAAAAATATATCACTTTCTGGCCATCAGAAATTAGGCATAGATACATATATACAAACACACACACACACATATATTATGTGTGATCCTGATTTTTGGAGATATTACATCACTTTGTAAACGTATCACCATTTGATAAGTCCCCATACAGTTTGATATAGCGCTTGGACCCAGATCGCATGATGTCACACTTAACAAGCTGATACTACTAAAGGTGTCTTAAAGTGAATGTTAAGTAAATTTGATCTGATTTTTTTGCCTTATACACATTATTAGTTAGCATTTGTAAAATAACATTTTGTCAGATATGAATGTCTAAATATAAATAAATATGCCATAAATGTTATCTAAACTTTTTATTTATGATGTTATGCTTGAAACCGCTTATTGATCATTTTTAAAATAACTTTGAGCATTCTAATATTACCAAGTGTATTTACCCTTTAACTGCCAATTTTTGGCAAAAATGTTGACTAAACGTTCCCTTCATAATTTATGCATTTAACTATTTGTTACAAGTATAGGGCATATAAATAAGGCTCAAGGTGACTTAAGCAGGTCGCACACCAGAAGCGCCGCGACACGGACATGACAGTTTAAAGTATCACACACCAGACGCGCACATTCGAATGATATTTAACATGAAACTAATCAGATGGCGCTCTGTGGCGCGGCTAAAAAATGAACTGCGTCCTGAGCCGTCGCCGGGCGCCGCTGACAGCCGCCGACTTGCGGCGCCGGTGTGTGTATCCTGATAGAAACCTATGTTTAGAATTCTAAAATACATGGCGCTGAGCGGCGCTTCTGGTGTGCGACCTGCTTTACTGTAAATTTTCAATATATTGTTTATCATTATACAGTGCTTAGCAAATAATAGTACACCCCCCTCATGAAGCTATCTTTTAAATGAATATTTATAATAGGATGCTATACAATATTATATTTGCGCATATCCATTAGATTAGTCAGTACTGAAGCCAAATCTGGAGCTTATCCAACAAGATAACTTGTGATAACGGTCTAAAAACTAGTACACACAAATGTATATGTTATAAAAAAAATATTAAATACAAATTAAAGAAGCAAAAAAAGAAAAAATGTAAAAGAAAATGTTTTTTTTTTGTTTTTTTTTTTTTACAAAACTTTGCCTGAATTTAATTGTATTATCTTTTCATTTCTAAATATGTTTAGTTTCTAATTTATTTAATTTTAATAAATATATCTGTTTAATAAATGTGTTTCGTTTAAATGCACCAAAATACATTGACTATATTCACTGATAAATGAATACAAATATTAATTTTCTAAATATGGTGTACTCAGTCTCAATTATGCTGAGCACTGTATGTCTAAATATTAGATTAAACATTTTGGCTCTTCCTGGTTTTTGTTTCCCTGGAAAAATGCATAAAGTGCAGTTGTAGGTAAATATGTGTTGTTATACACTTTGCCAATTTTGAATTTGTCCAGAACACCGAACATTTAGGAAAACAATATATTTACATACATCACAATAATTGAACTCAAGGATTCCCGCCTGTTTAAACCTCCCCTTGATTGACAACCCCTTTATCCAATGACTCTTCCCCAAGCCATGTGGGTGTTTCCTCCTGAAATCCAACCGTTATTCTATTGGCCAGGAGAAGCAGCATTGAAAACCCAGTTGCCATGCCTACATATCTTCTCTCCGGTGACGTTTGAGTGAAGGGAAAAGTGAACCAATAGGACTACAAAGAGGCGGGGCTTTACGTATACTGTCAACTATTCGTCCAAAGCTTGTTACTCTCCGTAAAACACATTGAACGCTGCGCGGTCGGAAAAACTACTGGCGTTAACCGGCGCTGAAAATGAGCCACGCTGTTTTTACTGAAACTACAATCAGGTAACATACTTTTCCACGTTACTCACAGAATGAAGTCGTTGGTTATGTTTGTGAAGCGTTTTCCCCGGTAATGCTACATAATAGGCGTCCAGCAGTAGGTTGGTTGACTGCATGTGTCACTGACAGTGAGGCTTTCCCCAGCGGAGCATCTCTGTTTCAGCGTGTCAGCACTGTGGAGCAAAAGCTTGCACATTTTGCAGAAAGGTCAGTTTCAGTTTAGCATGTGTGGTGCTGTTCCCCATCAGTGCGTATGTTTCCTCTGTCTAGAACAAAGACTTCAGACTGTGCATGGTGGGAGGAAGTTGCTGTGACAGATCACAATAGTGGTGGACGAAGCTGGAGATGTTTTGTGCCTCATGTAAAAATTAAAAATTGACTATATTCATGTGCTTGATTTCTTTCCTTATAATGCAAATGCTTTTTATTTTGCGTTTTGCATTTAAGAACTGTACATGTACAGTAGCCTAGTATGTCATGCCAGCTCAGTAATGTCTAACTAAAGTGATTTCTTGGTAACACTTTAGTTTATGTAACATTTCTCACTAGCCTATTATTAAGATATTTGCTGTTTATTATTATTTATAATGTACATATTCTGCAGGATCTTACTTTACCTTTTCCTACACAATACCTGAACACCACTACTACCTTAATATCTCACTGCACTGTAAAAGCCAAAAAGTTAAGGTAATTTAAACTGTTTGAGGAAACCGATTGCAACAAACCGTTTAACTTAAAAAAACTAATCTTAATGAGTTCTGCGAACTTAATCCATTTAAGTAAATTAAGCAATTTTGGCAAAGAAACCCCAATAAATGAAGTGAACTCAAAACTGAGTACTGTAAAACCCAATAAGTTAAGGCAACCCAAACCGTTTGAGGAAACAATTTGCTGCAAACCATTTGGGTAAAAAAAAAAAAAAAAAAAAACTAATTTATATGAGTACTGTGAACTTCATTTAAGTCAAATTAATGAGGTATTTAATGAACTCATTACCTTCAACACGGAGTTCAAAACTCTTTTCAAATGAGTAGAATTTACTTTCAGTAAATTTTGAGTTAACTAAACTCCTTTCATTTGATTAAGTTTACTGTTGGGTTCTACAGTGCGTTAACAAGCAGCAAATCAGGAGTTTATTGTGGTCAAAGTCACAGTTATGGTTTATTAATAATGAGAATTGTGCCCTAAAAGTTGTGTAGTAGTAGCGTTATCAGCTTTTCTATTAGTAAATCTTGGAGTACTTATAGATGAATGTAAGAGCTCTAGTAAACAAACAAACAAACAAACACATTTTTGCTTTTGAATTTATTTGCTGTTTGAATTGTTACTAGGACCTATTCATTTTAAAGGTATAGTTTACCCAAAACTGAAAATTTACTCTTTCTTTACTCGTCTTAAATCAGTTTGACTTGCTAAAGAGGTCAATATTTACCAAATCATGTGTTCAGCAGAAGTATGTTTTTCCCACTATGGATGTCAGCGGTTGGCGGTTTTCAGCTTTCTTCAAAATATTTGTGTTCAGCAAAATAAAGAGATCTTAGGTCTAAAGGTATGAAACCACTAAATTATCTTACTTGGTTGAAATATCCCTTTAACCAGTAGCTATATTCATTAGGCACTAATGTTTGTTTTTCTCCTGATTACTAGTTTAGATAATTTAGTAAATTCCTTTTAAAGATAATCATAAATAGTAAATTAATAGTAATGAATAGTTATTGCCTGAACCTTAATCTTTAGGCTAAAATTTACTTCTCTGTGTTTAGTATCGACAATTAGGATAGACTACTGCTGCTTATCGTTTTAAATTGTAGTAACCTTTGTAGTTATCTTTTAAGTACAGTATTTATTCCAGAAGTGACCAGTAGTTTGTACAGTATGCTTATTCATACTAGTAGTTTTATTTTTGTAGTAGTCACTCTCAGAGTTCTAATAGGTAAATGTAAGAGTTCTAGAAAAACACATTGAATTTTCTTGTTTAAGATACTAAACAACTGATACTTATTGCTGGTGCTGTTCATTTTAAAGGTATAGTTCACCCAAACTGAAAATTCACTCTTACTCTACTCACTTGTCACAAATCAGTTTGACTTGCAGTACTTCTGTTGAACACAAAGTAATTTTTTTTTTAAGACATCTGGAATTTGGTAAACATTGTCTTCTATAGTATGTTTTTCCTACAATGGATGTCAGTGGTTACCGGTTTTCAGCTAACTTCAAAATATTTGTGTTCAGCAGAATAAAGAGCTCTGTTGAGGTAAAGTTGTTTTTATATTCACTCTCTTTAAACAGTAGCTATGTTTATTAGGCTAATCTCCTAAACCTCCTGATTATTAGTCTCAACTTATTCATTAAATTCCTAATTTCTAAGATAGTAAATGAGTAGTTATTGTTATGGCTGGGCAATTTGGGCTAAAATCTAAATCTCAATTAATTGAACATTTTAACTCAAATACAATTAATTAACGATTATTATGGACAAGTTGACAGTTCATTCCGCATTGGCGATCCCTGAATTATAAAGAAACTAAGTCGAAAAGAAAATGAATGAATGAATGCAGTACTGTATAATATATAATACAATATAACAACAGTAATAACTAAGCTACTAGTATTTAATATGTTTGTAATAAAATCCTTTATTTACTTCAAAGATTGACCAAAAAAACTATTAATGACTTCTTTATAAATTAAAAAATCTATTTACTTTAAAATAGACAATATAGTAGGACTAACCTTTGTATCGGTTTGAATTTCAACAAGAGCCTAATTACATCTCTGTTTAGACTATCAAATGTCATGCCTCGAAATACACATCTTTTGTTTTGCAAATTGTGTGGATGGATAATCTAATGTCCCTGTCATTCTTGCCGAAGTGAATCTGGTGAAATAGTTCTAGAAGTGTCTAGCCGGCAGTTCAGATTCAGAAGTGTGGAGGGTTATTTCTAGAAGCACTTATGTCACATCCTGAGCTCATGCCGTCCGCTTGTAGAATTGCCGAAAATGGCTATTGGCTAGTTTTTCATATTCCAACAAAGTTAAAAGAGTTAGCAAAGAGTTGTATTGTACTACACAGATCCTGAGGCTCACTATGCAACTTGTGTTCTCTTGCAGTATGTTTTGCATTTCCGACCCCATGATAAGGGTCTTGTGATGCTGATGCAGATTGTCTTTTGACTGTTTCATGACTCTTACTCTTGTTTGATTAGGATCACTTAGTCACGAAATCAAGCCTATGTTTTTGGTTGGAGTCATTCATGTAAAGACATGAATTAAAATTCTGAATGTCATTTGCTACTGTACCATAATGCAAATCCTTGTGTTCGTCTTTTGCTTGTTGCCGGTTTTTAACACTTATTGCATTTTTTTTTTTAATTTCAAATCAGTATTTTTGCTTTATGGAAAAATTTTAATTAAAAAAAATTTAATTCTGAAACTTATTTAGTTTAACAGTGGCTAAGTGATTA